AAACTACGCAGATTTTTCAAAGTACAGTGTTTCTTGACCAGCTCTACTGTATGCAAAATCAGCCTGAAACGACATTTATTACAGCTCTCAATTTACATGAATAGTACTGTTTAACACGTAGGCTTTCGCGACCAATATTATTCATAATAAAGGTTCTTGGGTTAAATCGCGTTTATTTATAAATGTGTCGTAACCCTCCACCACCCGACACGGCCAATCAGCAAAAAAAAGTGTCACGTTGACAAAGACAAATAATTCACTACTTCAGCCCACCGGTGTGTTGAAGAGTTAATCCACATTTACAGTTTGAGTACGACGTTTCGCTGGTAAATACTTCCAGCATCATCGGGCAATTCGCCAGAATGGTAAAGCCCTCGCTTGCTCCCGGTTTTATATAGGGCAGCAGGGTGACGTCATCACTTAACTCATCAGGTGCAGTGATTAGAGGCGGAGGGGGGGGGTGTAATGTAATTGTATAATCGATTAGTAATCAGTCATTGGTTATGATTAGTAATGAGTTGTAGATTAGTAATTCTTTAAATCAAAATGTAATGTGTATTATTTAATAATACGCTTCCAGGCCGCACTAAGCCGGTAGCTGTCAGAGCGATTAAAGTTATTCTTGTTCCTCTCAATTTCAATGGATTCTCTAATTAGTCTTTGCCAGTAATAATTAGTTTTACACACCACTGCAACATTGTCAAAATCAATTGAGTGTCCTTGTTGACAAGCATGTTCTGCCACTGCCGACAGTTGTGTTTGAGATAATTTAATATTTCTCTGATGTTCTTTTAGTCTTACGCTGATGTTACGTCCCGTCTGCCCAATGTAGCAGCTGCCACATGAACAATTAATCCGATATACACCTTCTGTTGATAGTTTAGGTAATGCGTCTTTAGTGCAAGATACTAGTTTTTGAATTTTGTGTACTGTACCAAATCTTACTGTAATGTTTTGCTTTTGCAAAACACGGGCTAATTTGTCAGTTACTCCTGAGATATATGGAATTTTTATTGTTTTAACAATCTGGTCGCTTTCAGTAGTATTGCTTTGCGATCGTGATTTGGCATTCAGTGCTCTGTTAATTTGAGCATTATTGTAGCCATTCTGTCGTAGTGCGTCTTTAACGTGTTTAATCTCTCTCACTAGACTCTCACCATCTGACACTGTTTTCGCCCGATGTACGAGCGTCTTGATAAGAGAGGATTTTTGAGCTGGATGATGATGTGATTCTGCATTCAGATAGGCATCAGTGTGCGTTTGCTTTCTGTAAACGCTGTGTGTTATTTTACCGTTTAGGCCATGTCCAAGCAAAATATCTAGGAATGGGAGTGTGTTATTCACCTCCATTTCCATGGTGAACTGGATGGCCGGGTTTTGTGCATTGAGATGATTTAGAAAATCATTAAGTGTATCTTTACCATGTGGCCAGACAACCAAAGTGTCATCCACATACCTAAACCAAAAGGATGGTTTTAATGTGCTCGAGGCAAGTGCTCTTATTTCAAAGTTTTCCATGTACAAATTTGCTATAGCAGGGGATAAAGGAGAACCCATTGCTGCTCCTTCCTTTTGTTTAAAGAAATCCCCTCTCCATAAGAAGTGTTATTTAAACAATGGCCAGCAAGTTTCGGAATATCTTTTTGTAAACCGGTATTCTTTACTAGTGTATCAAGTAATTTAAGCGATTCGTCCACTGGAACCTTAGTGAATAGAGAAATCACATCAAAACTTACCAGAATATCATCAGGAGTAAGTTTAATATCTTTAATCACATTCACAAGATGTTCTGAATTTTTTATGAATGAAGATGTCTTACCGATGTAGGGCTGTATTTGTTTGGTTATATATTTTGCTAATTGATATGTGGCAGAGCCAATTGTACTGACTATGGGTCGTAATGGGATGCCGATTTTATGGATCTTTGGTAGCCCATAGAGTCTAGGTAGTTTTGAGGCCCTTGGCTTAATTAGGTATTGCTCATTTTTAGGGATTAATGAATTTGCAATTATTGCAGTGGTCTTACGTTCTAAAGTATTAGTGGGATCTCGTTTAATTTTAATGTAGGTACTTTCCTCTAGTAAATTTCTAATTTTATTATCATAATCGGCTCGTGACATCACTACAGTAGTGCGGCCTTTATCAGCTGCTAGGATTTGGATATCCTTATTTACACGCAGCTCTCTTAAGGCTTTTGCCTCGTTAGAGCTAATATTTACTTTTGGAACTTTGCTATTCTCAATTATTTTAGCAACCTCATGTCTAGTCATCTCTGCCTCATTATGTGGAAGGAGTCTAACTGCTGATTCTACCTCAGCAATGATCTCATCCACTGGAATTGTGCGTGGGGTAACGGCAAAGTTAAGGCCTTTAGAAAGGATAGAGACCATGTCACCGGTTAATACAGTGTTGGTCAAGTTCAGTACAGTTTTGTTTTTACATTTTTGGTTTTCAGTAGGGATTTGTTTATTATGTAGTCTAGAAAATGTATTAATTTGGTTAGTTTTTGTTAGTTTAAACACATTATCAGCCGATTGTTGTGTTATGTTATCGATTATATTCCAATAATGCATAGATACACTATTGCTTATATCTAAGTGTAACTGCTTTAGCGATTCCGAAATGTAAGATAATTCACTCCTATTGTGCTGTATTCTCTCTATTAATAATAATTCGCTAGCTTTGTGTAGTATTTGGTTAGCTTTAGAAGACTTTATGTGATGTGTTATTTTAACTGCGTTTGGTATGTAATTGTATTAAACCCATTCTTACTTCAACCAAATTCATTGGTAAAAATGTCTTCCCTTTTGTAAAGCCTGTCTGATTTGCTGTGCGTTTTGCAGTTTTTCTTGTGACCCACTCCTGATTTTAGAAGTGTGTGGTTCAGGGAAGCCCCAAGGCTCTGGTGCTGCAGCGAGGCCTCTGTGTGAGGTCGCTCCGTCGCAAATGGCCATCCGCAAAACTTGACTTCTGATCGCAGGCTGTGTTTAAGTTAACCGCACAACAATGATGAGAGAGCCCATCCCGCCACAGAAAATGGCCAAGCTCAGTTCTTTGGAGCTGGTGGTCTGGCTAAGACTGGCAGCTTTTTGTTCCTGCAATTCTGTACACTTTGTGTGTTGCGAAGTCTGTCGAGTGCACTTTCTTGTATTCTTAAGAATTGGGTGTTGGTTCAAAATAAGTTTCCTCGTGTAAATTGAGACGATGCTTTAATTCTCGCTTGCGACAGCCCACGTCTATTGGGAGCCGGTTCCAACAGCTCGTCGAGGTCAGACATTTTGGGGTTTGAATGAAGCCCAATATGGCTACGGCATCTAACAGTGGACTAATGGAAGGTGTGCAGGAGACAAGCTAAGGATTGGTAAACAGTTCTGCTGCATGGTAGGTCCATGTATAAAAGACCATGGGTTCGTATTAGCAGCTCAGCTACTACATCATCATCATTCATGGTCTATATCCACTGCTCGATTCCACTGCCTTCCCAAGCCGCCGCCACCTCTCACAATCCTGCGACGCAACAATCCACCAAGCACCTGCACTATTATATACCTCTGATTAGTACGGTTGGCTACGCACGGTGCGAAAGAAGTTCAACGTACATACTGTAACCAAACAAATGTTTATGCCTGGCACACGCTCATGTAGTGTGCATGTGTGCCGGTAACTCAAGTAGCATGTCAGTAATTACGCGCCTATGAGCAGTGCAGGAGCGTCGGAACCTCTTACTCTTGTATTGGGCCGCTCTGGCCCGTGGCTTCACGATTACTTCCTGAGCATTCCACCCTCCCCCATCCTAACTGAGTGGCGGCGGAGGGGATGCTGAGAGGCGGAAGGGTTCCCTGCAGCTCGGCAGTGTGGGTACCCCCACGGCTTGCCTAGGACTGCTGCCAGCGGAAGTCTCGCTCTGAATCGAATGAGCGGCGTCACCGTTCCAACAGCCGCGTCGCCCCCCGAGAAACTGCTTAGCCGCCCCCCGCCCATCCACCCTAACATGCACGAGGCTTGGTCAGGCATTTCCCTGGTAGGTGGGACTTGCTGACTGTGTACTTTTAAGGTAATCTAACTGCACTGGAGGGATGTACTCGGGATTGTTCTACATATTTTTTCGTCAGATTTTTTATTTCTGTGTGACCTAAATCTCAGCGTCGGAGTTAGACATTTAAAATGTGCGCGGTTAAGTTTCATTATGTGGTGTGCTACATGTCAGTTGAGGCCCTGGACACCCTGACAAACGAGATGTTCCATCTGGAGGGATTTTTTCAGATGGAAATGTAGTAAAACATAATTAATTGACTTGGACTCGATGCACGTTGAGCTCATCGGTGTGAATGTTCATCCCCCGCGTGGCTCCTTCCCCTTAATGCCGCCACGTACCTAACCCACAAGTACGCACGACGCCACGTCGCTTCCTACAAGAGCTGCGGCACCGCTCGCTGCCTCGAATCTCAGCAGCCGGTGGTTGCCGTGGTTTACGCTGCGAAGATGAATCGTTGGACCACGGAAAGTCAGGAACAAAACACATCGTGAAAGACCTCACGCAGACGCTCCCTGGCTTTCGATATTCCGTGAAGCTAATGGGCCACAATTCTAAACCACATCCACACAAACCATGGCAGTGGAGTAGCTGGGGGGGGGGGGGGATGCTTGATGATGCACAACTGTAACATTAGAAACTCTCCGTTGTGCGACTGTGGTCACCCAGAACAGAGCGTGGGGCATTTCAGAAGCAATGAATGCCCGATTCACAAACACGAAGGGAGGGCATCGTCACAGCGATGCACCACCCCCACTAAGCAACTCAAGACGCAATCATCTGGCTCATCAACCACCTCAATGTAAAATGATAGTCGTGGCTGTACAGCAGCATCAGCCATACGCTAAAGAAGAGGAATCCGCGTTTTTTTAAGCGATGAAGTTAAGATTGCTTTTCATTCATCTTTCAAGTGCGTTCTTTCACCGCAGGCCGCGTGTTTCACACATGCTTTGCTTTGTTGTTGCAGGTGTACATAATTTATGTCAGCTGGTCTGACAACTCCTCCTACACCATCTACAGGAGGTACAGCAAGTTCTTCGACTTGCAGGTAGTGGCACCGCGCATACCTCTGACTCAGCACAACCTGGGACGTCTTCTTCTCATAGCGACGTAAACACTCATCTCCCTCTGTTTAACGGAGACGAACACGTGCACAGTAATAATGATAATTAAGATAAGGATTGACATTGATTATATTCACAAGCCCTGTCATACCAAAGCGTCTGAGGATATCCTAAATAAGACAATACCAGGGGAAAAAAGTATGCTGATTATTTACCCAGGAAATCCTTGCCGAGTCACCGTATATTTCCTGGAGGATCCTGTGATGGATGAATCAGAGTACGAAACGCCAAAACTCGACAACCGACGTGTCAAGCTTTTCTGCTTCCTCGATCGACGTTGAATGAAGGATTTGGCGAAGCGATGCTACGTTACTTGATCAACATCGTACTTCTGTGTGACTCGGCCGGCTTTGGCGGCGGTCGGGACCTTGCAAGTGTAATTAGATCCCTAGGTAGGTGGCGCCGTAACCGGATCCATCGCCACCACAAATTAACGATCACCGTGGCAGGAACCAGTCGGGTGGCTCGGCAGTGGAGCGAGCGGCTCACCATCTGGAGGTCGCGAGTTCAAACCCCGGTTGGGGGTGGGGGGTTGACTCGGCTCATCATCTCTCTGGGGTCAGTAAAAAGCGTAACACTTTGTGGGCAAGTCAACTTTGGATGAACTCTCTTCCCCGTTGTAGCGGCCGTAAACTGGCTCGGGGCTCTCACGAGGAGATGAACGCTGCCTCAATGCTCATTTTGAGCAGGACATAACTCTGACATTTGAAAAAGATTCTTCGGTGGAACTTGAAATTATCATGAACTCTTTCCTGGGAAGCCTGAAAATCTGTAATTCTGGAAGCAGCTGCGACGGAACACTTTGAATGGTTTCTCAAGGGACAAAGAAGCCTTTTACACGATTCGGACCTCTCTGATGTTATCTCTTGGAGTTTAGATTCTGTGGCGTACACGCTTGCCGTGTAACTCGCATCTCATTGTGCTGTATGACCATTGTACTTTGACGATTTGTTATTTTTTGCTGTTGTGGCCACACGCGCCGATTTCTCTGTCCCTGCGCCACGCGGCGCCCTCCAGATGCAGCTTCTGGACAAGTTCCCTGTGCAGGGAGGGCAGAAGGACCCCAAGCAGCGCACCATCCCCTTCCTGCCCGGTGAGACTCACCCTGCACATGTGAGCAGTTGCGGTTATGAGGGCTGTTGATACGAGGACTTTGAGTGAATTGTAAAATTTAGGTTTTTTTTAAACAATAAAGTTATCAACCCATCGCTCCTTAAAAGCAGTCCTTTAATGCAACGTTATGGAAACCACTTTGTGGTACCATTTGGAACAAATTTTTGCACTTCCTTATTTAAGTTTGGCTCATTCCCAATTGATTATATCCGACAACGAAGTCTCGAAATAATGCTGAACACACTGAACTCTGCCACCCATGCGAACGTTTTTCTGTATTCATGCATCAACTGCTTCAAGTCCTTATGTGTCCACAGTTGTTGGGATGAAATGTGATCGGATTTCAGGAAATCGTTTCTTGGGAGTTGTGGAAGTTTTACATCGGGAAGAGTGCAACTTGGACATTGAGGGTGTGTCTCTGGGTGTGTCTCTGGGCTTCTGTTATGTTTTAGTTGTTGCTATGACCTCGTACAGTCAAGAGAGACACTCGCAGATCTATAGATATGCGCACACACACACGTGTGCAAACACGCGTATGCACACACACACGCGTATGCACACACGCGTATGCACACACACACGCATATGCACACACACACGCGTATGCACACACGCGTATGCACACACGCGTGCACATGCACACACACACGCATATGCACACATACGTTGTGCACACATGCGTATGCACACGCGCACACACACACGTGCGCACGTTTCCTCAGAAGAGCTTCCTCGCCTCGCTCGGTCCAAAGCGAGGCCTCCTCCCGCGTGCCACGCCAGGCGCTCTTCGTTTCCCCAAGCCGTGGTTTTCTCAGCAATTTGCGGATTCTCGAGGGGCTTATGAATGAATGAAAACATTTTAGAGTGAAATCAGCTGGAAACCCATTGAGATGCAGAGGCTCTCTTTTGCAGGACACTTGTGGAAAAATACAGGGAACGCAGAAAATAAATAACTTGTTTTGGAAATACTTTTCTAAAAACAAAGCCAGAAATGTTTTGCGAGAGAATAAAACTAAAATTGGGCTTGTGAGACATAATAATAATTGGTGAATAAGCTCGGAAAATATGACGATTTTTAGTTGGATACCATCTAGATAAAGGGACGGAGAATGATGGTGTGTTGATTAGATCACGTGCGCAGACGTACAGAGACACACACACAAGTCCTCCGAATTGTGAATAAACTGACAAATCGAGCAGGATGAGGTTTTCATTTCTCCCGTAGCGGTGACGGTGGCGGCTGTCAAAGCGCCGTGCACCGAGGCTGGCTCCCGGACTCGGCCTCCCGTTCCACAGTGAGCGTGTCAGTGGCGAGTGAAGTCTCCACCCTCCTGGCCAGCCCTAAAGGTTCCACTCGCCTAATTACAGGCCCACTCTGTGTTAATGTTTTTATACGTACTGCATATAAAAAAGCTATAATGTTAATTTATCCACTGTAATAGTTGCACGTGACGTCATATGTTTTGATGGCAGTGCTTATTAATGGGATACGAATTTTGGCTTGCTGTATGATTAAAGTAAAGCAGCGATGATATGCTGACCGGATTATCTATCTGGGTCATTACATTTGTGACGACCTGGGCATTTTAAATTAAATCAATAGCTGCTGCTACCCACTAATCCATTTAGGGAATTACCAAAGCGCTCGGTCTGCAGTGAAGTGTGCACTAGAACGTGTAACATTCACCAGAATCGTTTCACCAATGTGTGCGTGTGTGTGCTGTCGTATGAAAAACCCTACACCTGAAAATGATCCTTATCGAAGTTATAAGTATGAGTGACCTTCTTTATGCTGCGATTGTGACGAAGGTCTTCGCAAGGCGACTTTATTTTACACAATCCCACGGGGTGGAGTGAGTGGCATCGCGGCTCGCGCGCCACTCCGCTGTGAACCCGCACCACCTGAGTTTGATTCCCGGTTCTGGGCCCCCTCCTTGCACTGACCAGCATGGTGAAATATGGTCATCGAACAGCACCCATCACGTGGCATGAGGGAGGCCCTCTTCCATCAGTGGGCTTACAAAGAGGGCCGAGAAATAGAATTATTATTATTATTGTTATTAGGGATCCCCATAATTGTGGTCTTTTACAGTTGAATTGCTCCTCCTCGCTTCTCTCAAGACTGGTTACTTGAGATGTTTTTCCAGAAGCAATCCTCGCCACTCAAAGGTTCGACCACTCAGCCTCAAAACGACGGCTTCCCGTGCGGTTAGAAAGCGTCTCCAAGCGACGCCTCATGCACTGTTCATTGAACGTCGTCGGCCACTGAACTCCACTCGCCGCTGCCCAGGCAACCCCCATTCGGGTCGTCTCCAAGACGGACTCGTTCCCTTCGCTCGCTACGGAGCCATCTCCGTCCATAGACGGCGGAGACGGCGCCCGTGCTGCTCCTCCTCCTCCTCCCAGCAGCGTGCGTCTGGGCCGCTTCCTGGCTGCGCAAGCACAGGAAGGTGATGCCGTCTGCTGCGAGGACGGTCACGGCACTGACACCTTGGCCTTTCCCTGCTCCGTAAACAACATCGCAGTCTCTCTCAACACCCCCCTCCTCCCCCCACCCCCATCCCCTCCTTTATTGCCGAGTTGCGGGAGGGATGGCGACGCTTGTTCCTTCAGCTCGCGATGCGCGCACGTCACGGCGTGTGCAGGCGTCGTCGACGCGCTGCAGTGTGGACGAGTCGCAACGCAATCCGCGCCCTGTGACGCAGTCGCATCCAGATGGCGTGCGATCCTAAATGGTGTTGTGATGTTTGTGCCGTGTGCACAGCCGGCTGCAGTGAACCCTACAGCCGGCTGCAGTGAACCCTACAGCCAGCTGCAGTGAACCCTACAGCTGGCTGCAGTGAACCCTACAGCCAGCTGCAGTGAACCCTACAGCCGGTGGCGGCCTCTGTGCTCACTGCAGTGTCAAGTAAAAAATGAAAATCAAAATTCTTTAATTGAATCATCGCCTTGGACGGAGACATTTCGTAGAATTTTCGGGGGTGCACGGTGGATGATTGGACCCCGCTAGTGAACACAATGTCGGAAGGGCATGGCTTGCTTTGACATTGCAACTTCTGGTACTGGCTTTTTTAGTTTAATCTCTCAGGAGCTTTAACACCAATTGGAGTATTCGGGCCAGCATGCAGTATTCATGGAGTGACTGTTAAATCATGAGAGTGCTGCCAAAACTCACGGTGCCAGCAATAACTCAGGCGTTTGGACAATTATTTAAAGTAGTTTCCGATTCACGACTCCGGCCGTCGTGTGACACTGATGCGGCATGAACGTCACCAGTATAAGTGTGGCAACTCTCAAACGTCAAGAGAGCATGCTGTTGACGAATGTCCGTTTAAATAACGGCAGTATCCTGGCATTTTCAATCATCTCATGATTCGCCCTTGATGTTGAAGGAAATCTGCAGCTTTGTGTCTGTGTGTGCAGCTTTGTGTGTGTGTACAGCTTTGTATGTGTGTGTGTGTGCGAATGTTTTTGTTATTATCTTGTTTGTGTCGGGGGGCTCTGAAAGTATTGCCACCTTGCATTCCCCCCCTGAGTAATCTGTTTTCATTTTTAAAAAAACCTGAATTTACAAATGATACAGCATATAATAATCGTGAGTTTTATATGTATATAAACATTTAAACCAAAGGCGTGCATGTTTGCACAGGGAAGAGATTTAACAGCACCGCGCAACGACTTGCAAGCGGCGTTCCTTCACGGCACCGTGATGCTCGCACGGAACGATTGTCCTCCGAGCTGATCTTTAATTAATGGGTTCAAAACTTGCGACGCCAACTCAGAGGAAGGGAGGCTTTGACGGCCTGCAGTGGCGTCGCGCAGCACGATGGTGGCACGGTGGTGACGCGGTGGTGGCACGGTGGTGGCACGGTGGTGGCGTGGTGGTGGCGTGGTGGTGGCACGGTGGTGGCACGGTGGTGGCGTGGTGGTGGCGTGGTGGTGGCGTGGTGGTGGCACGGTGGTGGTGTGGTGGTGGCACGGTGGTGACGCGGTGGTGGCACCTTGGGCGCCTTTCTCTCCTGAGTCTGTGCTCTTCCATGTTCTGCGTGGGTTTCCTCCAGCGTTTCTGGTGTCCTGCCATTGCTAAAAAAAAACCCACACGCAACGTAACTGGTGCTGGTCAAAACATCACAATGCTGAAAAGTTACGCAGAGCAGCAGCATCGCCCCCAACTGTGAAAATTTGGCAGGACCCTCCTGAAAAACAGCCTTGAGACTCAGGCTCGATAAACAAAGTGTGTATAAATAAATGAAAGCATAATAATCGGCAGTTCTCGGTACTAACACTGTTTTTATGAAAAATGAAAGATTATGAATTCCCTGATGCAGTTCTACTGGCTAACCATGATGTCACTATGCAGCGTGTAGTTGATTTGTAATCACAACTCGCTGATACCTGTGGAGTTGAGACCTTGCTTACCATCAGCTCCTCTATTGCAAAACCCGATTGCTTGGCAGCTTTGTGTCAATTAACACCGGGCCCTCCCATCCCTCCACGAGTGATTAGGGTGTTGTTGGGAGGGTGATGGAGTTTGTGGATAGCTTTAATTTGCTAACAAAGGTCTGCATCGCACAAGGAGATTAACCACAGATTCATTAGTTGATTACAACAGCTTTGAAACAGCCAGGCGCGTCTCTGTGGACAAGCCTGTGGGTCTATTTAATGGCAAAATCACCCCTGCTCCCTGCTTGTGAAACAGCTTCCTCTGTGCTGACTTGCAATGTTTAGGCTTGTGTGCTGTATGGGCCGTATACTGCGCAGGGCACTCGCCACACGCCCATTGAGATGGGATTAGCGTGCAGCGCAGAATGGAGAGGAGAGGAACAGAGGTAGTGCGTGGCCTAGAACCCTGCAGCCTTGCCGCTTGCCGGCACCCGTGGTTTGGGGATCGGCCTCCTGCGTGATGGATCTGTGTGAATGACGCTGTTGGTGAGAGATTGCCCTCCAGCAACAACAACAATAGCAACGACAGGAGGCCAGCTACCCCCAGCTTTAGTGCCGATCGCTTTCCTAACAATGCCTCTGTGTTGCCGTGGTCAATTAGGCGCGACGTTTAGCACTGGGGGCACCTGGTGACCATTGACACACGCCAGAAGAATGCCGCTGGGCGCACTGCTGTGACCTTATTTTATTCCAGGATCAAATGGGCGCTTGATAAAAAAAATCCAGTATGTTGCTGGGCTCATGGGGTAATTGTGTTTCTGTGTACAAATCAGATTTCGTTTAAACGCGAGTTCGTGTGTGTGCTGCATATCGATGTGGTGAGCGGCAGTGCAGCGGTTAGCGCTACGCTGCGCTACGAACTCGATTCCCGCTCACGGCCAACACCAGTGACGATTGTCTGAACGGGTCCTGGGCCTCCCCTAGGTCGACTCAGCCTCAAATGAGTGCCTGGTGTGTAAAAATCGCCACTGGGGAGACAAAGGCGGCCGGGTGTGGTGCTGGCCACCAACCCCCTCGTGTGCCGTGCCGGCCTTCATAGGTGCTCGATAACAACACTTGCCCCAACAGTCTGCCAAGGCTATATCGATGTACCCAATAATAATCTCATTGTAAATGGCTCGACAACTCAAAGCGCCTCACGTGGCACCCCACTCAGACGTCCGAAGGGTACCCCCAGTGACAGCTGCCCCTGCGCAGCGCAAGGCCACTCCGGCCAGGAGGGGAGGCGATGATCGATATGTTTAATGCCAATCAAACGATTTGTGGCGTGTACATTTTTCGAATTTTCGCAACAACTCAGAAGCGACCTGGCTGCGACAAATGATAGCCCAACGAAGTGGCTCATCACGTGAAGATGTATTACAGCCAATTACTCTAAACACACGATTATAAATGTGGAGGGGAAAACCAGACGACCCGGAGAAAAATCCACGTGACCACGGGGAGAGAGACACCGCAAACTCCAATTATACAGCAGGCATCAGGGTAGGGATCGAACCCACGCACTCCTGTATACCGGGCGAGGTAGTGAACATCTCCTAGCCACTGTGGCACCCGGAGGTGGTTGACCTCTTGACGACGGCCGTCTGTGTGCTGCTGCTGCTGCCGCGTCTGTGACTGCAGGCAAGATCCTGTTCCGGAGGAGCCACATCCGGGACGTGGCTGTGCGGAGGCTGAAGCCCATAGATGAGTACTGCAGGGTGAGCAGCCGCGGCCGCGACGCCGGACGACACGGGGGACGACACGCGTGACGACACGGGGGACGACACGGGGGACGACACGCGTGACGACACGCGTGCCGACACGGGGGACGACACACGGGACGTGGCACGACATGCGTGACGACACGCGGCGATGCGACTCACCGCACATCGGAGAGGATGGGGGGGGGGGTTTCGGACACGCGTGTCCCGGACACGTGTCCGGGACACGCGTGTCCGGGACACGGCTGTCGTGGCCTCCGGTTTGTGGGGCTCCCCACTGTTTCTCAACGTTTGTTGACCACTGACGGCCAAGATAGGGGCACACTCATTCTGGCTGTTGACGACAAAATGTACCATTAACCTGAAATCCACGGGATCTGTCTTCTCATCAAAGAAATGCAGGCAGAATTTTGCTTTCAGAAGTTAAATTTTCATGAATAGAAATAGTTAATGTCTTTCATCCATCTATACTCGGAATAACACCAGCAGTTGACATTTACTCTACGTTATCTCTATGGGGGTTATTCCTATATGATAATTATCTCTGTTATATCTTCGCTGTTATCTCTACGCTGTTATCTGCGGTAGTATCCATCAGCATGGTGTTGAGGAAAATATTCGCCTCGCATTTGTAAGTACTCGGCCCATCAACCCTCGTGGGGGAGGGGCGGTTGGGGTGGGAGGGCGCATAAACGAGTTCCACTTAGCGGGCAGTGAACAGTGGCCTTGCTGTGGAGGCGCCGATGACTGTGAGAATGCGCTGCCAGCAGAGACGAACGCAGACGCTCGTCCGACAATAAAACGATTGTGGCCGCTGTGAGATCGTTAATGCTGCCGCTGCGGTGGAGCTCGGAGCGTTGCTAAAGACCGTCGCGTGCCCGCAGGCGTAAGCGCTCGTCTCGGCTATGACTGATAACACGAAACGAGCGTGGCGCCTGCGAAGTGCGTCGCCCGCCTCGACGCTCACACGTGGACACGCGTCAAGCGCCGAGGGAAGGAATTGACTCCTTTCGTCAACCCACGACACCAAATTTTCATATCCTAATTTCTGAAACTCTGACTGCCCCTTGTATGCATGCCTCTGTAGTCAAAAGATTAAATTACAAGTGCCAAACTAGCGCTTGGCGTCTTCTCACGCGAGGCCGTGAGCCGGCGCTCGCGGCTTGAGTCACCTTCTGCTCTCGTGTCGGCGTTGCCTCTCGGAGCCTCGGGCACGCAGCCGGGAACCCTCGGCTCAAGAACGCTGCAAGTCCCCCGTGCCGCGCAAGGCATAACCTCCTCCTCCCTTTAGTGCCACGTCAGCTCGCGTGCCGAGAGCACTGCACTAGCGAGTAGTTCCCGTTGCCCTGGAACTAGACCGGCAGCGGCGTTTTGTTGGTGAGAAGCCCACGTGTCCGTGCTACGTAATGCCGCTCAAATGTATCGGCTCTGTCAGGAAGTAATGGGGTTTTTTTTAAGGCTATTCTACTCGTACATTAAAAATCACAACCGTAATCCTAAGAAATGGTGTTGGCTCGTCAACTATGCAGAGCAATACTTCTGTCTTTCACGCTGCTCGTAAATTGTCTGTAATACAGGGTTTTTTTTGGGGTTAGATCGCGTAAACATAAATGTGTCGTCAAACCAGCCACCACCTGACACAGCCAATTCGTAAGGTTTGTCACGTAAACAGAACATGCCAATTCGCTACTAGTACAGCACACCGGTGTGTTGGAGAATAAATCCACAACATTTACAATTGTCTGCATTATGAAGCGGCAGCACTATCGCTACACTAATTAAATATGCCACTGTATTGGCTTGTGGTAGATAAAAAAACCTTCCTTTTACAATTTTAATAAAATATTTAATTGGCAGATGGTTATGGAAGTAAAGTATTCTAGTGCCATCTCGAACTAATCATATGGAGTGTGGTTTGAAGACTCTTGAGCGAGATGTGCTGGGAGATGTGGAGGGCAGATTCACTTTATGGATGTGATGTGAAACGTTGTCCCTGGACGGGGCGGCTGGCGGACAGACGCTACATCTTGGGGCATTTCGTCAGAGTGCGTCATTATCATTGTCAGTCATGATCAATCCGCTGCTAGATGAAGCCCCCCCCCCCCCCGAGTTGCATCGCCATCTGTCACGATGTTGCGATGTGGCACCAAGCCATCGATTGACATCAATTCATCAGTTCAAATGCTCGCGATGCATTCCATCGTTGTGAGACTATTATTATTATTTATATACCAATTATGCGCTGTTACGTTTGGCGAGTGGAGAACACGTGCAACACTGTACAGTTGAGACAAAAACAAATCGTAAACACTATAAACAAGACACTTAAATCTCACTAAAAAGAATCAATTATTATATCAAGTTGCAACCCTAAATCAGTACAATTCATTGATTACTATCAAGTAGTTTGAGGTTTTTCTCATGCGGGAGCACTGCTCACAACTGTGTGAGGGCCGGGTTGCTGCTAAGGAACCGAACCTTTTCACAAAGAAGGAGCTCGTTGCATAGAATGTGCAAAGATGGAGGTGTGCTGTGTCTTCTATGGCGAGTGAGAGGAACGGCTTAGAAAAATAACTTGAGGAGTTTGTTGCACTTGCTCCGCAGAGGCAAATAAAGTTTGCATCGACAGCGAACAGATTCAACAGCGGACAGATTTGACACACTCGGTGATTGGTAAAATGTCGTGAGCGGGATGCAGGAATCCGCCTTATCCTGCAACTTTCAGGAGAGTCCAGTTGAAGTTATGAACGTAGAGCCTCAATCGCATGAGTTATGATCAGCGTGTGTGGAAAATAGACCGTCAACAGTGGGCAAGGCGTGTGGGGGGACGTGCAGCCAGCAGACGGATTCCTGCACCGCACCGTGTGATCGGTGAGTGAAAGCAGCAGCGCCAACGTGACCTCCGGCTGCCCTCAGGAACCTCGTGCTTTGATTCCCTCCAGGCACAAACCGGCTCGACAGGGAGCCCCTCAGTCGCACGAATGCGGTAGAAGCAGCCCGCTCGGGTGTTGCAGCATCATCAGCAGCCGCGATTGATCCACTGCTGGACGAAACCCCCCTTTCCTCAAGCAGTCGCCATCTGCGACGTAACAACGAACCATCGCGAAGCCGACGCGCGGGCGTGAGGTGGGGCCCCTTTGCTGTCGTGCGTTCGGCCTGTGGGTCGGTTGAGCCCAGGCAGCCTCTCGCTCTGGGGCATCGGCCCAGGGGGCATCGATTCGCCCACCCTCGCTCGCTCGCTTCGCGACGAGCGCGCGCCGGCGTCGAGAGCTGCGGCGGTCGTGCCCCTGCGGGCGGCGACGGCCGCCGCCACCGAGGCGGAAGCGGCTCGCCGGACCGCCGCCTTCGCCTCGGCGGCCCTTCGAGTGACTTGCGCGCGGTCTGCAAAACGATCCGTTCGCGTGAAGCCGCTCTCGAGATTGCGCCGATGCTGCTCGTGGGAGGCGCCGAGCGTGGCCGGCGGGGCTGTCTGTGCGGTGGGCTCGGCCGGCCGGTCCCGGGGGAGAGCGAGGGGGAGGGCGGCGGCGATCGCGCGGTTTCATCTCCCCGGCGGTGACGTGGCGATGCCTGCACAACGGCGCGCGCCGCCAGATGTTGTTGTGGTGGGGCGGATAGAGGTGGGGGCTGGATAGAGGTGGGGGCCGGATAGAGGTGGGGGCCGGCTAGAGGTGGGGGCCGGCTAGAGGTGGGGGCTGGATAGAGGTGGGGGCCGGCTAGAGGTGGGGGCCGGCTAGAGGTGGGGGCCGGCTAGAGGTGGGGGCCGGCTAGAGGTGGGGGCCGGCTAGAGGTGGGGGCCGGCTAGAGGTGGGGGCTGGCTCAGCAGGGTTTTTTTCCGGTGCTTGTTTACTGCACATGCAGTTCATTGCAACATCGCTAAAAGAAAAAACACACAAAGTTCTAAGAAACAGAATATATTTAAACAAAATTCCCGGCCGCCTAAAGCACAGCTTGTTTTTCCTCACGTTCAATCAAACATGTTCACAAATATTTATGTTTTCATGAAATCGTGCATTTTTAAATAATGCGTGTGCAGCTTTGGCCATAAGTCCGATCCCATTTGCAGTAGTATTGGGTATATTTTCCAGACCGCACTACACGCGCGTGTTTGTGGGTACAGGGGAGTGGTAGTGCAGCGGTTAGCGCGCTACCCGCTGCACTACAGACCTTGCAGAAAAACCAGAGTTCAATTCCTGCTCACGGCCAACACCAGTAATGATTATCTGAACCGGTCCTGTGACTGGGCCTCAAATGAGTACCTGGTGCTGTGTGTAAATATCGTCACTTGGGAGACAAAGGCGGTCGGGCGTGGTGCTGGCCACCCACCCCGTGGTGTGCCGTGCCGGCCTTTCACAGGTGCTCGCTAACAGCACTTGCCCCAACAGTGTGTTTAGACTCTGCGGGGGGCATCTTTGTCTTTGTTTGTGCGCACAGGCACTGGTGCAGCTGCCCGCGGAGATATCCCAGTGCGAGGACGTGCTCCACTTCTTTGAGGCTCGGGCAGAGGATCTCAACCCCCCCAAAGAGTAAGCCCTTCCCCCGCCCGCCCGCCCGCTCTCTGTCTCTCTCTGGGTACCAACATCGACCACCCTGGACCGCAGCTCCTCCGTCTGTCAAGCTGCCGCTGTCGGCCGTCTCGGTCATCTCAGCAATCCATGCCACGTTGTTTGGGTTTTCTGAAAATAAAACAATATATTCTTAGTGTGCATTTCTTTCGGTAAGCTGGCAATTTATTTTCCAATTTATTTTATTCTACAATTAATTTTCACATTAAAGTCGATGCTAAAGCATGCCTAGTATCTAAGCACACTTCTGATATAATCAACACGTGTGTGCGTTGCACTGCTAGCGCACGGCGAAGGGCGACTCATGATATAAGCACGCGGTGGGATATTGGCTACACTGTGTGATCACATCCAACCTCTACTATACGGTCCAGTTGTGCCCGGAGTGTCATCACCAGAAGAAGGCATCCGCATTGAGAACTGCGAGCTAGCGGCGCACTACCCTGTGTCCATGAATGGGCCTGGACGATGATCGCGCAGCACTACGTTATCTAGCGCTCCTCACTTTCAATCGGGTCACACCATCCAAGTGCCCCATCAAAAGGACTCTTTGCTAGTCAATCAAACTGAATTATTAATCACTCGTGCAGGTGTCTGTGTCTCCATCACTTGTGAAGTGTCTCTGTCTCCATCACTCGTGAAATGTCTCTGTCTCCATCACTCGTGAAGTGTCTCTGTCTCCATCACTCATGAAGTGTCTCTGTCTCCATCACTCGTGAAGTGTCTCTGTCTCCATCACTCGTGAAGTGTCTCTGTCTCCATGACTCGTGAAGTGTTTCTGTCTTCATCACTCGTGAAGTGTCTCTGTCTTCATCACTCGTGAAGTGTCTCTGTCTCCATGACTCGTGAAGTGTCTCTGTCTCCATCACTCGTGAAGTGTCTCTGTCTTCATGACTCGTGAAGTGTCTCTGTCTCCATCACTCGTGAAGTGTCTCTGTCTTCATGACTCGTGAAGTGTCTCTGTCTCCATGACTCGTGAAGTGTCTCTGTCTTCATGACTCGTGAAGTGTCTCTGTCTCCATCACTCGTGAAGTGTCTCTGTCTTCATCACTCGTGAAGTGTCTCTGTCTTCATCACTCGTGAAGTGTCTCTGTCTCCATGACTCGTGAAGTGTCTCTGTCTTCATCACTCGTGAAGTGTCTCTGTCTTCATCACTCGTGAAGTGTCTCTGTCTCCATGACTCGTGAAGTGTCTCTGTCTTCATCACTCGTGAAGTGTCTCTGTCTTCATCACTCGTGAAGTGTCTCTGTCTCCATCACTCGTGAAGTGTCTCTGTCTCCATCACTCGTGAAGTGTCTCTGTCTCCATCACTCGTGAAGTGTCTCTGTCTCCATCACTCGTGAAGTGTCTCTGTCTTCATGACTCGTGAAGTGTCTCTGTCTTCATCACTCGTGAAGTGTCTCTGTCTCCATCACTCGTGAAGTGTCTCTGTCTCCATCACTCGTGAAGTGTCTCTGTCTCCATCACTCGTGAAGTGTCTCTGTCTTCATCACTCGTGAAGTGTCTCTGTCTCCATCACTCGTGAAGTGTCTCTGTCTTCATGACTCGTGAAGTGTCTCTGTCTCCATCACTTGTGAAGTGTCTCTGTCTCCATCACTCGTGAAGTGTCTCTGTCTCCATCACTCGTGAAGTGTCTCTGTCTCCATCACTCGTGAAGTGTCTCTATCTCCATCACTCGTGAAGTGTCTCTGTCTCCATCACTCGTGAAGTGTCTCTGTCTCCATCACTCGTGAAGTGTCTGTGTCTCCATCACTCGTGAAGTGTCTTTGTCTCCATTACTCGTGAAGTGTCTCTGTCTCCATCACTCGTGAAGTGTCTCTGTCTCATCACTCGTGAAGTGTCTCTGTCTTCATCACTCGTGAAGTGTCTCTGTCTCCATCACTCGTGAAGTGTCTCTGTCTCCATCACTCGTGAAGTGTCTCTGTCTCCATCACTCGTGAAGTGTCTCTGTCTCCATCACTCGTGAAGTGTCTGTGTCTCCATCACTCGTGAAGTGTCTCTGTCTCCATGACTCGTGAAGTGTCTCTGTCTTCATCACTCGTGAAGTGTCTCTGTCTCCATCACTCGTGAAGTGTCTCTGTCTCCATCACTCGTGAAGTGTCTCTGTCTTCATGACTCGTGAAGTGTCTCTGTCTCCATCACTCGTGAAGTGTCTCTGTCTTCATCACTCGTGAAGTGTCTCTGTCTCCATGACTCGTGAAGTGTCTCTGTCTTCATCACTCGTGAAGTGTCTCTGTCTCCATCACTCGTGAAGTGTCTCTGTCTCCATCACTCGTGAAGTGTCTGTCTTCATCACTCGTGAAGTGTCTCTGTCTCGATCACTCGTGAAGTGTCTCTGTCTTCATGACTCGTGAAGTGTCTCTGTCTCCATCACTCGTGAAGTGTCTCTGTCTTCAATCACTCGTGAAGTGTCTCTGTCTCCATCACTCGTGAAGTGTCTCTGTCTTCATGACTCGTGAAGTGTCTCTGTCTCCATCACTCGTGAAGTGTCTCTGTCTCGATCACTCGTGAAGTGTCTCTGTCTTCATGACTCGTGAAGTGTCTCTGTCTCCATCACTCGTGAAGTGTCTCTGTCTTCATCACTCGTGAAGTGTCTCTGTTTTCATCACTCGTGAAGTGTCTCTGTCTCGATCACTCGTGAAGTGTCTCTGTCTCCATCACTCGTGAAGTGTCTCTGTCTCCATCACTCGTGAAGTGTCTCTGTCTCCATCACTCGTGAAGTGTCTCTGTCTTCATCACTCGTGAAGTGTCTCTGTCTCGATCACTCGTGAAGTGTCTCTGTCTCCATCACTCGTGAAGTGTCTCTGTCTCCATCACTCGTGAAGTGTCTCTGTCTCCATCACTCGTGAAGTGTCTCTGTCTTCATCACTCGTGAAGTGTCTCTGTCTTCATCACTCGTGAAGTGTCTCTGTCTCCATCACTCGTGAAGTGTCTCTGTCTTCATGACTCGTGAAGTGTCTCTGTCTCCATCACTCGTGAAGTGTCTCTGTCTTCATCACTCGTGAAGTGTCTCTGTCTCCATCACTCGTGAAGTATCTCTTTCTCCATCACTCGTGAAGTGTATCTGTCTCCATCACTCGTGAAGTGTCTGTGTCTCCATCACTCGTGAAGTGTCTCTGTCTCCATCACTCGTGAAGTGTCTCTGTCTCCATCACTCGTGAAGTGTCTCTGTCTTCATCACTCGTGAAGTGTCTCTGTCTCCATCACTCGTGAAGTGTCTCTGTCTCCATCACTCGTGAAGTGTCTTTGTCTTCATGACTCGTGAAGTGTCTCTGTCTTCATCACTCGTGAAGTGTCTCTGTCTCGATCACTCGTGAAGTGTCTCTGTCTCCATCACTCGTGAAGTGTCTCTGTCTCCATCACTCGTGAAGTGTCTCTGTCTCCATCACTCGTGAAGTGTCTCTGTCTTCATCACTCGTGAAGTGTCTCTGTCTCGATCACTCGTGAAGTGTCTCTGTCTCCATCACTCGTGAAGTGTCTCTGTCTCCATCACTCGTGAAGTGTCTCTGTCTCCATCACTCGTGAAGTGTCTCTGTCTTCATCACTCGTGAAGTGTCTCTGTCTTCATCACTCGTGAAGTGTCTCTGTCTCCATCACTCGTGAAGTGTCTCTGTCTCCATCACTCGTGAAGTGTCTCTGTCTTCATGACTCGTGAAGTGTCTCTGTCTCCATCACTCGTGAAGTGTCTCTGTCTTCATCACTCGTGAAGTGTCTCTGTCTCCATCACTCGTGAAGTGTCTCTTTCTCCATCACTCGTGAAGTGTCTGTGTCTCCATCACTCGTGAAGTGTCTGTGTCTCCATCACTCGTGAAGTGTCTCTGTCTCCATCACTCGTGAAGTGTCTCTGTCTCCATCACTCGTGAAGTGTCTCTGTCTTCATCACTCGTGAAGTGTCTCTGTCTCCATCACTCGTGAAGTGTCTCTGTCTCCATCACTCGTGAAGTGTCTTTGTCTTCATGACTCGTGAAGTGTCTCTGTCTCCATCACTCGTGAAGTGTCTCTGTCTCCATCACTCGTGAAGTGTCTCTGTCTTCATCACTCGTGAAGTGTCTCTGTCTCCATGACTCGTGAAGTGTCTCTGTCTCCATCACTCGTGAAGTGTCTCTGTCTCCATCACTCGTGAAGTGTCTCTGTCTTCATCACTCGTGAAGTGTCTCTGTCTCCATCACTCGTGAAGTGTCTCTGTCTCCATCACTCGTGAAGTGTCTTTGTCTTCATGACTCGTGAAGTGTCTCTGTCTCCATCACTCGTGAAGTGTCTCTGTCTCCATCACTCGTGAAGTGTCTCTGTCTTCATCACTCGTGAAGTGTCTCTGTCTCCATGACTCGTGAAGTGTCTCTGTCTCCATCACTCGTGAAGTGTCTCTGTCTCCATCACTCGTGAAGAGTCTCTGTCTTCATCATCTGTTGCCTGTATCCTCGTGGCAGAATGGTGAGCAGCAGTGGACGCAGTTCGTTTCTTGTGATCTCGCTCTTGGTGGGGGTGAAAATGATTCTGCTGCATCTGCATTTCTGCTTCCACGGGGAGTCTGGCAGCACGGAAAGCAAGTCGACGTAGATCGCGGGTGCGCGCTCGTGGGTGGTCGAACTCCAGTGAGGAACAGCGCACTCGGCAGGCTCTCGTGCGACGACTCGCTAGACACCCAAAACACTGCGCTTGTTTACTTTGGAAGGTGAAGAGAGCTTTTATATCCACGTCTAAACATGACAATGCCTGTCCACGAAGCAGCTCGGTAATCGGCCAAAATGAGGCAATGTGAAACCGCGTTGCCTCTGGCATGGCGCTGCCAAAGACAGCACTCACGTGCTCGGAGAGAACCGATGGACTCGACAAAAAAGACTTGGAGCGGTTTGGCGAGGCGCATAGTGAACTTTCACCGCTCGGCGCGGACAAAACGCCTTCCAAATGTTTTGTGCGCCGAATGGAAAGTGTGACTGGTTGCGGACGGCACCGCGGGTGAGGAATGGGGGGAGGGGGGCGTCTGGGGCGGGAGACGGGAGAGCATCATGGGCTGCTGGCAGGGTGAGGAGCGAGGATTGGGTGATTGTGAGGAGAGGGGCATCTGGGGGAGAGTGTAGATGGGGAGAAGTGTGTGAGGGAAGGACCACGGTCGTTGGAGGTAGCTAGAGAGAGATGGGGGTGCCGTGTCGGAGTGAGGGTGGCTCGAGAGAGATGGGAGTGAGGGACAGGCCTAACACGTGCGTAAGTTTCAGCGCGTGCCGGATGCGCACGGCGCGTTCACACACGGCGGTTCTCATCTCGCGCGACTCTTTCTGTTCGCTGCAGCTGATGCAACGGCGTCGATCGATAAAAATGCAATGCTGGACGATGCAGGTTAATATTATTACGTTCCATTCACCTCTCTGTAATCGCGTTAAAGAATCCTGTTGCATTAAAATGTCTAATTTGTGAAGTACATCTGGATAAAGATAGATACGTAAGCGACAGTGATTCATTTTGTATACCTCGCGGTGCGGGTTATTTGCTTAAGTGGAGCTCGCGCTATGAGTTTGCCTTTCAAGTGGCCTCCCGTTTCGTACGACGCCCCAGAGCCCGGGACGTGGACGAGCTCACGGCAGACCGAGCTTCGTGCCGAGGAAGAGCCACCTCTCGATATTTATGCAAAGTGGAACCGCGCATGCTTGACTTGCGTGTGCATTCAGAGCGAATTTACATTTCTTGTTAGGAATCATCTCAACAGGTCACACATTTTGGAACGTTACACCGCAAATGACTCGCTTAGGACCACACGAGCAGCAACATCGCCCCCTGCTGTGAAACCACAGCCGACTACGTCTGTGGAACGGAGCGCCTGCGTAACGCACACCGACAGCAGCTGCTGCTGCTGCTACGCACTGCGACCTCGCGTCCGAAGCAGCGTGCGACGCGCTAATTAAATTAAGGCCGTTCCCAGGGGAAGGGGGGGAGGAAGCAGGGTCCAGTGGAACGTGGGACGTGCCACATGCTGTCCTCCCACCCCGATGCGTCGCCCGTGGGAGTTGCCCGTGAGCGCACGGCGCTGCATGCTGGGGGTCTGGTGGCGACCCTCCTCAGCTGGTGGATGTTGAGGTTATTATGGAAATGAGCAGCTGGTGAATATCCACTCTCCGTGACTTGTCTGTGAGAAATGGCAATGGCTTAGGGAAGCCTTCATCAAGCTGTGGGTTGGTCATGGCTGATGATGATGAAAGTGGCTGAGCTGCCAACGTGGAGAGATTTCGCAATTTCACAGATGTGTGTAGATGACTCAAACATCGCGCGGGATTCCACTCCACCCTCCCTTTTCGTTGGTTGCAGGGTTAACTTAATTTTTTTTATTCAACAAAAAGCAAAAGATCTTCTATTGTAATGAAATGTTCGATCTGCGTGATTGCATAATTTACAAAGACTCTCTCAAATATGCTCAAAAACTGTAATGTCATTCCTATTATTATTCTCCATATTCCATTATTTTGTTAGAATTTTCGTACATTTGAGTATACGTATGATTATGTAATTTGTTCAGCTATGTAACTTCCCCTGTAATTTTCCACCATTGCCGCCCCAGTGAATGGCAGTGGAGGGCTCGTGGCGTTGGGAGTAACGCTGCCTCTCCCTGTCTCTCCCTCTCCCTGTCTGTCTCTCTCCCTGTTTGTCTCTCCCTCTGTCTCTCTCCCTGTCTGTCTCTCTCCCTCTCCCTGTCTCTCACTCTCCCTGTCTGTCTCTCTCCCTGTCTGTCTCTCTCCCTCTCCCTGTCTCTCCCTCTCCCTGTCTGTCTCTCTCCCTGTTTGTCTCTCCCTCTGTCTCTCTCCCTGTCTGTCTCTCTCCCTCTCCCTGTCTCTCCCTCTCCCTGTCTGTCTCTCTCCCTGTTTGTCTCTCCCTCTGTCTCTCTCCCTGTCTGTCTCTCTCCCTCTCCCTGTCTCTCACTCTCCCTGTCTGTCTCTCTCCCTGTCTGTCTCTCTCCCTCTCCCTGTCTCTCCCTCTCCCTGTCTGTCTCTCTCCCTGTCTGTCTCTCTCCCTCTCCCTGTCTCTCCCTCTCCCTGTCTGTCTCTCCCTCTCCCTGTCTGTCTCTCCCTCTCCCTGTCTGTCTCTCTCCCTGTTTGTCTCTCCCTCTGTCTCTCTCCCTGTCTGTCTCTCTCCCTCTCCCTGTCTCTCACTCTCCCTGTCTGTCTCTCTCCCTGTCTGTCTCTCTCCCTCTCCCTGTCTCTCCCTCTCCCTGTCTGTCTCTCTCCCTGTCTGTCTCTCTCCCTCTCCCTGTCTCTCCCTCTCCCTGTCTGTCTCTCCCTCTCCCTGTCTGTCTCTCCCTCTCCCTGTCTGTCTCTCCCTGCCAGGGACGCTGGCTCCAAGAGGAAGCTAGGTGAGCAGCACGGCTCGCTCACCGCACACTCCCCACGTGCTCATCGCACACTCACCGCACACTCACCACACGCTCACCGCACACTCCCCACGTGCTCACCGCACACTCCCCACACGCTCACCGCACACTCCCCACGTGCTCACCGCACACTCCCCACACACTCACCGCACACTCCCCACGTGCTCACCGCACACTCACCACACGCTCACCGCACACTCCCCACACGCTCACCGCACACTCACCACACGCTCACCGCACACTCCCCACACGCTCACCGCACACTCACCACACGCTCACCGCACACTCCCCACACACTCCCCACACGCTCACCACACACTCCCCACGTGCTCACCGCACACTCCCCACGTGCTCACCGCACACTCCCCACACACTCACCGCACACTCACCGCACACTCCCCACACACTCCCCACGTGCTCACCGCACACTCCCCACACACTCACCGCACACTCACCGCACACTCCCCACACACTCCCCACGTGCTCACCGCACACTCCCCACGTGCTCACCGCACACTCCCCACGCGCTCACCGCACACTCCCCACACGCTCACCGCACACTCCCCACACGCTCACCGCACACTCCCCACACGCTCACCGCACACTCCCCACACACTCACCGCACACTTCCCACGTGCTCACCGCACACTCCCCACGTGCTCACCGCACACTCACCACACACTCACCGCACACTCACCACACGCTCACCGCACACTCCCCACGTGCTCACCGCACACTCCCCACGTGCTCACCGCACACTGCAGCATCCACGCCGGTCAAGGTAAAGGCGCAGCCCTGCACACCACCGCTGGCTGGAAGTGCCTTTCACTCGAGCAAGTTCTCGACGGCCCCTCTAGAGAGGCTACTTTGGCCTACTCCTCCGCACTGACGAGACGTCTTCGGAAGGCGGTGGGAGTCCCCACACTCTACCTCGCCGCACGCGACCTGCCAATCGACAAACTGCGTTGGAAACTTGCGCCGTCGTTTGAGCTTGCCGCGGCGGGAGATCGAACCGGCCACCCCTGGCTTGCAAGCCCGGTGCGCTGACGCACCGCGAACATTCCCGTCCTCTTTAACAATCGGAGCTCGGTGGGCCTGGCTTCGCCTCGCGGCCGTGTTACCACGGGCGGGAGGCCTGAGCAGCCCCTCGCGACCCTCGCGGCTCGCGAGCGAGGAACAATTCGAGCACCGGTGCCTTTTTTTATTCCGACTGGGAGCGCGGCGACCTCCGGTGGCAGCCCGGGGCGGCACGGCGCCGTCGCGGAATCCGGGCGCTGCCGTCGGCGTTCCGTGCACGGTCCGCCTGGCGTGCTCTGAGCGTCCAGCCGGGCGGCCCAGCGGTGGAGCGAGCGGCTCGCGATCGGGGCTCGCGAGTTCAACTCCTGTTTGGGGTGGGGGGGGGTTGACTCAACCAATCATCCCTTATGGGTCCATAAAATCATTACCGCTTTGTGGGGAAATCAACAGCGGTTGTCCTATGGAAGACGCGCCCTTGCCATAGGAATGTGGAATTTCCGTCACTCTCTCGAGGCTGCAAACGGGAGATGAGCACCGCCTCGATGCTCATTTGAGCAGCAGGAGATGGCTGTGTCACCGCTGCATCGCTCCACCCCTCCGCGACCGCCGGTGGGACGCGACCGCTGCCGTTGAGTCTGGCGTCACCGTACCCCCGTACCCGTGCGTCGCCGGGAGGATCGAGGTAACGTCGGTTATCGTCCTGGCAGCGGGGAATCGTCTCCTTTGATCTTTGATCGCGTGAACCCATCGCGCCGGTCAGCGATAAATCACCCCTCTGCATTCGGTGATAAATAAAGTGATCCGGTGCAGATTGTGTCTCTCCAACCAGGCGAGCCGAGCCTGCTCTCAGCCAATTCAATAATTGTATCCATCACTCGCGCTCACCGCCAACCTGCTCTTAGCTTAAATGAACCCCCGTCCGTCCGTCCGTGTGTCTCTGTCCCTCTGTCCCTTTGCATCGTCGTGACGTAGTGGGTGTGGAGGAGTGTACCCCTCCCCCTCCCGGGCAAGTCCCCGCCTCTCCGATCGTCCTGCCCCCCCCCACCGCCTTTCACCTCTGACGAGCTGCTGCCCCCGTGAGAAGGAAAAGGGAAGCAGAAGGGAGGGCGGCCGAGTCGTGCGCCGTGGGTGGGAGTTATTTATTAAACGGCTTCAACCGGCAGATGTCACGGAGATGATGATGAGAATTATTGGAGAATGGAGGAGTTTCAAGGCTACGGAGAAGGCGAGACGGTACTCGGTAGAGTCGCGTGGAGGCCAGAGGAACCGAGTCTATGGGAGTTGTTAATCTGGCGAGGAGAGGGCGGTGGAGATGCTTCGTTTGGTTGTGACCTCGACACGTGGAGTGCCATGGGCCCAGCACGCTGCCCTCCGCTACACTCCCAGCACAAGCAGCGTCGCTGAACGATGCGGGAACCGTGGCGTGCACGGCTCACGGGGAGGGTCGCCGCTGCGGGGCACGCGGTCACCGTGGTTTGATCACGGACGTGGCGGAGAGCGCAAGTGGTGCTTCTGCAGGGTGTTTTTATTTTCCCCAGCTAACCCCCTAACCCCTGAGGGGTCTCTTCCGTGACTTCCCTGCCTGCGAGCTCTTGCCGCCACATGCCCTCCTACATTCTCACCCAGTGTTCGCCCGCGTAACGCGTCGTACATGCACGTTGTACACGCTGTGCACTGCGCTCTCAGCTCGAACACCGACTTCCCAGCCTTGTCCCCAGTGACACAAAACAATTCTTCTCAAGCGCTAACCCATGACCCCCCCTCTACCCACCCCTTGATCTCGAACTTGCTCTTGTCACGTGTGCCACTTGGAACCTCTCGGCCAATCCCATGGTCTCTCGGGCCCTGGCACTGCGCGGAGCAAAAGGGAGGCCCCCTACGTATCGTGACTGCTGCACGTGCGTTGGCCGAGACTTGGTTTAATTTATTAATAGTAATGGGGATTGGCTGGGGGCATCCTCTGTGTACGCTGAGCAAGCGTCGTGGTTGTGTGCCCGCCGTTGTTGCCGCTGCCTCCGCCGCCGCCAGGATCCGAGGGCATCGCGGAGGCCCTGGTGCTGGAGCAGTACGTGGTGGTGGCCGAGTACAAGAAGCAGCAGAACTCGGAGCTCAATCTGGTGGCCGGGCAAGTGGTGGAAGTCATCGAGAAGACCGAGACAGGTGGGCGAGCGCGGGGCCACGCACGCACTCGCTCGCTCGTGCACGCACACACTCACTGACTCACGCACTCCCTCGTGTGCGGTGGCTGGGTCACGCAGCCCGCATGCCCAGCCACCGCATGCCCAGCCACCGCATGCCCAGCCACCGCATGCCCAGCCACCGCATGCCCAGCCACCGCATGCCCAGCCACCGCATGCCCAGCCACCGCATGCCCAACCAAGCTGCATGGTCAAAGAAAACGTTGGCATGGCATGGGGAGCCCTTCATCCAGTAGTAGATTGACAAAGGGCTGTAAACTATAAATTATTCCACCTTGATGAGACGTTAATTTGGGTAAATGCTCGTGGTTATGCATCACATAGGTTTTCCAATATTTTTGCCCGTGCAGAAATGTGTGCGGCATCTGCTGGTCGTGTCAGAGCCTAATTCACGGCTCCGTGTCCTTTCTTTGCAACAAGACGCCCAGCGTGCTGCATCAATGACATCGCCCCCTGGTGTGAGCATTGCGGACCGAACGCTCACATTTGTGAATTGCAAGGAGGAGGTCTCGCCCGTGTGGTTTGTGTGCCGTCTGTCTGCGCAGGCTGGTGGTTTGTGAGTGCCCAGGAGGAGCAGGGCTGGGTCCCCGCGACTTACCTGGAGCCCAGGGATGGATCCCAAGATGACCTGCTCATTCAGAACGCCAACCCGGGGGAAGGTACTCGCACAGCCTGCACCACCACCGCCACCACCACTACCACGGCACAGAGTCACAAGTGGATTCCTGCTGAAATTAGCATTGACCCGGTGCTCATCTCCTTTTCACAGACCTTCAGCCAGTGGTTGAAACTCCACATTTCTATGGCAGAGGCGAATCTATCCAGCGGACAACCACTGATCACAGAGTAATAATAGCAATTTTATTGACCCTGGGTGGATGATGGGCCAATTCAACCCCCAACCAGGATGTGAACTCGCAACCTTGGGCTTGCGAGCCGCTCGCTCTCCCGCTGAGCCGCCTGACTTGATGGCTCCGTCCCATCGCCTCGCAGACGCTGCACCGCCGCTCCCTTTCGTGACAGCCGCGGTGCAGCGCTGCCAGCTCCCCATGATTCCACGTGGCCTCCTGAATGATGCCATGCGTCCTGATGGATTATGGGGAATTGAGTCATAGAAGGGCCTGCCCGTAATATATTATACTTTGATCTGTCGGTCAGCCTGTGGCTCTTTTGGACCAAAGAGATATTTGTTTTGGCTCTTGCCGTTAGATTTTCTCATTCTTCATTTCGTCGGCAATGCGGACGGGGAGAGGCGGACCGTGCCGGCGTTGTCACAGACACACACCGTTGGCGATGGCCACCCGGCCGCAACCGCTCGCTGCTGTCCCATTTCGCCCCCCCCCCCCTCCCCCAGAGGAACGCTACACGGTGGTGCACACGTACGCGGCGCAGGACGGTGACGAGCTGGAGCTGGACAAGGGGGCGCTCGTGGACGTGCTGCAGAAGAACCTGGAGGGGTGGTGGTTCGTTCGGTGAGCCCCGGCACAGCCGCAGGCGCCACGACGCCTGAAAACCGCCAGTGCGGAAACACCGCCGGAACGAGCGAGCCCGCTGCTCCCGGCGGACGTCACGATCGCCGAGTGTGGACTGGTTCAGGGCCACGCTTCACCACGCTGGGTCGGTGCACATTGGAGAAGGGAACACATTTTGTGTGGCCTCTCGCCGAGCACCTGACCCGCACAGGCGCCCAATATCGGTGGCGATTGCCCAAATTGTTCCTGGGCCGTTCCTGGCTCGACTCGGCCTCAAATGAGTCAACATCGCTACTCGGGAGACAACGGCTGCCAGCCGTGGTTCTGGCCACACAACTCCCCAGCATAGGAGCCGGCTAATAGCACTTGCCCCAACAGCCTGTAGAGGCTACAGGGGGGTGGATCTTTGTCCGTGTGTGTGTGTGCGGCAGTTACCAAGGCAAGGAGGGCTGGGCCCCGGCCTCGTACCTGCGCAAAGTGAGGGAGGAGGGGCCGGGGGTCGGGGGTCGCAAGCCGCCGCTCGTCGCCAAGCGCAGCAGCGAGGAGGGGGCCCCCCCGTGGGGGGCCGGAGCCCCCGTGGGCGCGGAGAACGGAGCGGCAGCGCCCACCGTGGCGCGCATCACCCCACAGAGAAGCAGCACGGGTGAGAGCCCCCCCCCACTCCCCCTCCTCGTGGGCATCGCGGGCCCACAACAATCGCCACCTCGGCGCTTGTGCCAGGCTAGGTGCACACACACACACACGAGCCCCTGCCGGCGATAGGGCTTCGGCGAGCAGAATTCCTACAGGATCTCTCATAGAGGCTATTTTGGCCTACTCACGGTCCAGACGCCTTGGGAGACGTACGAATACCCACACTTTACCCCACGACACGCGAGCGACATGCCTATCATCACCTGGGTCTCGATGATGTTGCGAGTCCAGCAATCTCCACCAGATGGCGAGCTGACCCTATCACAGTCTTACACGAGTGAATGGAGAGAATCTCCCCAAGAAGAATTGTGAATCCTGAATCATTATTCCTAGGTAAACGAGCCAAAATAGTCATCATTCCCGTCTTAATAAGTGGTCACAAACAAATCTTTCCAGACATTCTGTTGATGACGATGATATTCTTTGGGCATGTGGTGTGTGTGTGCGTGTCTGCTGCACGTGTGTGCATGTGTGTCTCCTGTGCATGTGTGTATGTGCATGCATGTGTGCTGTGCACGTGCATGTCTCTGCTGTGCGTGTACGTGCGTTTGTGTGCACGTGTGCCTGTACATCTGCTGATTGTGCGTCTACGTGCATGTGTGCGCTCGTATGCTGTGATTCTGCGTGTGTGCTGCGTGTGTGTACGTGCCTGCGTGTGAGTGCGTGTGTGTCTGCTGCGTGTGCGTGCATGTGTGCGTGCGTGTCTGCTGCGTGTGTGTGCGTGTGTGTACGTGCCTGCGTGCGTGTGCGTGTGTGCGTGTGTCTGCTGCGTGTGCGTGCGTGTGCGTGTCTGCTGCGTGTGCGTGCGTGTCTGCTGCGTGTGCGTGCGTGTGTGCGTGTCTGCTGTGTGTGTGTGCGTGCGTCTGCTATGCGTGCAGAATCTCCCAAACTACGACAGAGGCCCCCTCCGCGGCGAGACGTCACGCTGGTATTTTATTCATTTTATTTATTATATTTAGAGATGGATGAACTTGGCTAGGTGGTCCACCGCACTCTTCCTTGCCAAGTTTCACATGCAGAGGCAAAGACAAAGATCGCACGTATAGCCTTCACAGAATCTTGGGGCAAGTGGCGCGAGCAAGCACTTACACGAAGGCCGGCACGGGGTGGGTGGTCAGCAGCACGCCACGGCCACCTTTCCCCACGAGTAAGCCTCAGCACTTGGGGGGGTCCGTAGCGCCACGTTCTAACCACCACGCTCACAACAGGCAGCGCGGCGACCGACGGCTCAGCCGCGCGGCCGACTCGAGCGCCGTTCCGCGCGGTCGCCGCGAGTTTCCGTTTTGTTTCCCGGGGGGGCTCCCGTTTCCCGGGGGGCTCCCGTCTCGCACGCAGCCGCGTGGAGCGCAGCTGCCGAGCCTTCCGGAGCCGCCGGCCGTGGAGGCCGAGTACTACACCCTCGCCGAGTTCCAGTCCGGCATCGCCGACGGCATCACCTTCGGCGGCGGCCAGAACGTGGAGGTGTGCGGGGGGGGTGGGTGGGGGGGCTGGCTTATGCTCGCGCGAACTCACAGATTGTCATTTTAGTTTTGTGTACGCGCAGTTTGCCGAGCGCCGGTGCGATCTAAACGTGACGTTTAGATCCTGCAGGTGGGAGCAACGTTGACGCGAGTCCGACCGTGGCGCGAGTCGTTGCTGGGAGGTCGCGGTGTCTTATTGCAGTGTCTCATTGTAGTGTCTCATTGTAGTGTCTTATTGCAGTGTCTCATTGTATTGCAGTGTCTTATTGCGGTGTCTTATTGCAGTGTCTCATTGTAGTGTCTTATTGCAGTGTCTTATTGCAGTGTCTCATTGCAGTGTCTTATTGTAGTGTCTTATTGCAGTGTCTTATTGCAGTGTCTTATTGCAGTGTCTCATTGTAGTGTCTCATTATAGTGTCTTATTGCAGTGTCTCATTGTATTGCAGTGTCTTATTGCGGTGTCTTATTGCAGTGTCTCATTGTAGTGTCTTATTGCAGTGTCTTATTGCAGTGTCTCATTGCAGTGTCTTATTGTAGTGTCTTATTGCAGTGTCTTATTGTAGTGTCTTATTGTAGTGTCTTATTGCAGTGTCTCATTGTAGTGTCTTATTGTAGTGTCTCAATTTAGTGTCTCATTGTAGTGTCTTATTGCAGTGTCTCATTGTATTGCGGTGTCTTATTGCAGTGTCTTATTGCGGTGTCTTATTGCGGTGTCTTATTGCAGTGTCTTATTGCAGTGTCTCATTGCAGTGTCTTATTGTAGTGTCTTATTGCAGTGTCTTATTGCGGTGTCTTATTGCAGTGTCTTATTGCAGTGTCTCATTGCAGTGTCTTATTGTAGTGTCTTATTGCAGTGTCTTATTGCAGTGTCTCATTGCAGTGTCTTATTGCGGTGTCTTATTGCGGTGTCTTATTGCAGTGTCTCATTGCAGTGTCTTATTGTAGTGTCTTATTGCAGTGTCTTATTGTAGTGTCTTATTGCAGTGTCTTATTGTAGTGTCTCATTGCAGTGTCTTATTGTAGTGTCTTATTGCAGTGTCTTATTGTAGTGTCTTATTGCAGTGTCTTATTGTAGTGTCTTATTTTAGTGTCTTATTGTAGTGTCTTATTGTAGTGTCTTATTGCAGTGTCTTATTGCAGTGTCTTATTGTAGTGTCTTATTGCGGTGTCTTATTGCGGTGTCTTATTGCAGTGTCTTATTGTAGTGTCTTATTGTAGTGTCTTATTGTATTGTAGTGTCTCATTGTAGTGTCTTATTGCAGTGTCTCATTGTATTGCAGTGTCTTATTGCGGTGTCTTATTGCAGTGTCTTATTGCGGTGTCTTATTGCGGTGTCTTATTGCAGTGTCTTATTGTAGTGTCTTATTGCAGTGTCTTATTGTAGTGTCTTATTGTAGTGTCTTATTGTAGTGTCTTATTGTAGTGTCTTATTGCAGTGTCTTATTGCAGTGTCTTATTGTAGTGTCTTATTGTAGTGTCTTATTGTAGTGTCTTATTGTAGTGTCTTATTGTAGTGTCTTATTGCAGTGTCTTATTGTAGTGTCTTATTGCAGTGTCTCATTGTATTGTAGTGTCTCATTGTAGTGTCTTATTGCAGTGTCTTATTGTAGTGTCTCATTGCAGTGTCTTATTGTAGTGTCTTATTGCGGTGTCTTATTGTAGTGTCTTATTGTAGTGTCTTATTGCAGTGTCTTATTGTAGTGTCTCATTGTAGTGTCTTATTGTAGTGTCTTATTGTAGTGTCTTATTGCAGTGTCTTATTGTAGTGTCTTATCGCAGTGTCTTATTGCAGTGAACTAGCACGCAGCCTGGCATTGCCACCGCTGGATCAACCTGGGAGAGTGGGTGGTGCGGGGAGCATTTTGAAACTTTTCTCATTGCTCGTGACTCAGAGTTATCTGTTTGCCTCGCACGATGCAGTCTTATAGTCTCAATTTGGCTGCATAAGAGTGTTTGTTTGCTGTGATATATCCGCTGAAATAAGCAATGGTGTGTGGTGTTTATTCTACTGCAGTCTCTGCTGTCTTTCTGCCCAACAAGGGCCACCGGCGGCATTGATGACGGTTGCGAGCTTTTGGTTTGTTCAAGTTTTGTTCAATGACATACAAAGATGAGCAAGCAGCAGGTCCGTCTCTCTCCGTGTGAAATGAAATGGAACAAAAATAACGTCCCATCGGTTGTTTATGGTAATTCCGGACGAATATTTTCCAGCAGGAAAATTATGCACTGGTCGTGACTTCTGCGTCTCATCAGCAGAGTCGGATTAAAACAGATCCATTTCAGTTGGGTGTTTTTCAAGATAGGAATCCTCTTAGGCGTTTTTGTGTTCCAAAATTAACCATTTCCAAATTGTTTGCTGAAGGGAAAGCGGCCCATTTCATGCGGCGAGCGTCCTGGGTGGTGTCGCATCACAGCAATACAAACCTAAGCGCCGTCGTCGCGTCCTGCGACCGTGTCTTCGCTCCGCGCAGGTGATCGAGAAGAACGCCAACGGCTGGTGGTACGTGCAGATCGGCGACCAGGAGGGCTGGGCGCCCTCCTCCTACATCGACAAGCGCAAACGCCCCAGCGCCGTCGCCCGCAAGCTCAGCAACGTCAGCCGACCGCGCGTCCCTCCGCCGGCGCCGCCGAGCCCCGGGGCGGAGGCCGCGCAGGGCGCCAGCGAGTACGACACGCCGGCGGTGGACGGCGCCGAGACGTCGGAGGCCGGCGAAGGGGGGGCGGGGGGGGGCCTTGTCGCCAGAGCCAAGATGCAGCTCCGGGAAGTGAAGAGGGACGACCGCAAGAGCAGAGCTCTGAGCCCCACGCGACCCCCGCCGCCGATTAAAACCAAGCAGGCGCCCGTGGCCGCTGCCGCCGCACCCTCGGCAGGAGCCGTCGAGAAGCCGGCGTTTCCCAGCGGGAAGAAGCCTGGGCCGCCCCTGCCGGACGGAAGGCTGGGCCGCAAGCCCAAGCCAGAGGAGTGGAAAAAGCCGGGAGCCGCGCCGGTGCCTGCGGAAGTGGGGGACGAGAGGGCGGCAAATGCGGCGCCCTGCAACGGGTCACCAAAATTGCCGCCCAGGCTGCCGCTTAAATCGAAACTGGAGAAGTGCCCGACAAGCGCGGACACGGAGAAGGGCGGGGCCAGCGCGCCCGAAGTCGGCCTGCCCGTCAAGGCCTTGGTCGGGGACCTGATGAATGCTTTTGCAGGCTTCAAGCCGGCGGCACGGAACGAGGCAAACAATCGGGAATCTGAAGCAAAGAGTGAAACCAAAGCAATTACGGGGCCCAACCACCCACCCATCCGCCCCAAGCCGTCAGTGAAACCGCGGCCAGCGATGCCCCCTTCTGTCGCCGCTAGCGCCGCCAAGCTCGAGGAATCGCAGGGAAATCAAATAGACATCGGAAATCTGCGCAGTCACCTACGGCCCACTCGTCAACGCGGCAAGCCTTTGGCGGATGGCGCCGAGTGCGAGGACGAGTCGGGGCCCAAGACGAGGACGGCCAATGGCAACTCTGCTGCCCTGCCGGGAAAGGGCGCGGAGCCGGGCCACGGGGTGCCACTCGGCGCCATGGGCGCCGAGGTCGATGCGACGGAAGAAACCGTGTCCCCGGCGAGGCCCAAACGCCCACCACCGCCAAAGCGACCCACGGCTTCCGGGAACGGCGAAAACCGCGCCGACACGGCAGCCAAACCCACGGATCGGTCGGCCGGCTTTTTGCCGAGGCCACCGGGAGCAAAACCAGGCCTCCCGGTCACGACCACCAAGCCCAGTGGGTCATGCCCCGCCCCGCCCACCAAACCAAACCCAGCGAAGGCCTCCGGCCCCAAGGCAGTCTTCAGCGCGCCGGCAACAGCAGCGGGCAAAAATGTGCTTCGGGCCTTTGGCCGGGAAGGTGACGGCGGTGGCGGCGGTGGCGGCGGTGCGGACGGCGACGCCTGTCGCGAGGGGGAGGTGTACGTCGCCGTGGGCGACTACGCGGGAGACGACGACTCGCTGGCGGTGGGGGAGGGCGCGGCGCTCCGCGTGCTGGAAAAGGACGCCAACGGCTGGTGGTTCTGCCAGCTGACGGGCGGCCAGCAGGCGCAGGGCTGGGTCCCGTCCAATTTCCTGCGCAAGCAGTGACATCCCAGCGACACGTCCTCTGGCGCGGCGTAAAGAATAATGCGGCCAGTTCAAGAGCCTCTATAAACAGCTCGGGGGAAATATTCCGGCACCTCCTGGGACTCGAATATTTACCGACAAAAGCCAAAACAGAGGACCATTACAATGCCCACACAGCTGCACCATAGCATCTTCGACACACCGCACCGACACGACCCGCACTGCACAAACACAACTCCTTCATGAATACCGAATTGGCGGTCTCCCAAGTGTTCACATGGCACTGTCAATCCAACGATTCCCACAGATCCCGACATCACATCAGCTCCTCTTGTAACCACAGTTCCTTCATCGGCCTCACCTCCTTTCCAAATCAATGTCAGAGCACCTCTCTCTCTGTGCTGATTAAATAAGCGATCGGTTGGCCACTGCAACATCATCATCTTGGGGAGACTCAGTGCTTCCATCTTTAATTGATCAAACTGATAGTCCACCCTAAACTGCCAATTCGGTGGCAGATTATAGAAATCCCCATCGGCTTTCCGTGTAGCCGAACATTCCTATGACATCACTCGTGCATTACGGATGATGTCAGCATGCATATTGTTCCAGCAATCTCTACTAAACATCTTCAGTCTTCACGATGGATGTTCTCCTCATCTCGTGTGTGGGTCTATAAACCCCCGTGAGGGCTCCCAGTACAGCTCAACGGTCCGCAGCCATCCCTGGCAAGGCGCCGTGGTGGTAGCCAGAGAGGCAACTCGCACACGGTGCCCTCGTCCTGTTGAGCGCCGTCGCCACGTCCACCACCGCCGTCCACCACCGTCCACCTACACCTCCACCACCTCCACCACCGTCCACCTCCACCACCACCACCTCCACCACCGTCCACCTCCACCACCGTCCACCTCCACCACCACCACCTCCACCACCGTCCACCTCCACCACCACCACCTCCACCACCGTCCACCTCCACCACCGTCCACCACCTCCACCACCGTCCACCTCCACCACCTCCACCACCTGCGCGTGAGAGCCGATGTGCCGCTCTCGCGTCCAGCGCGGCAGCTCTGCCCCCACCGCCCCCCGCGCGCTCTGTGACTCGGGCATCCAAGTGGAGCGGCTCAAGGCCTCGGATCGTTGGCCATGACAAGAAAAGGCCACGAATTGGAGTGCGGTGCTTTTAAAAGCCACTTATTTTGTGGGGGAGAGAATCTGTTCGTTTTTTTTGTTATCCAACTCTTTCCGCGAGTCGACTTCCCATTGCGTGCTGGAGTGTTTGTCTCGTGCTGCGCCTGGGGCATCCCCGGCGTGGCTTACGTGCGGTAATGCACGGCACGCGTTTCATGCCTCCGCGCTCAATTCGTGTCTGTGCGCATGCGCGCCAAAATCCTTTTGTGCACTACTTTTAACAGTAAGGACCCACGAAGTCGTGGGCACCAGTGGTAAGATGGAGGAAAGCCAAATGTGACTAAAAACCTCTCTCGTGTATCGCCTATCGGAGGAGACGGCTCGTAAACAAAGTTAACGTCCACCCGGAGAACAGCTTCATTCCAAGTCTTCAAAACTGACGGCCGTGTTGTTCTCAAAGCAATTGCTGGGTGTGGTCGTCTGGTGATGTTTGAAGGTCTCAGTTGGGTGTGCAGGTCTGGGACTGCTTCGGGTTCCCAGGAATGGGCCCTCTCACCAAGCGTCGTTTGGCCATAGCCTGCCCGAAAACTTCCTTCAACCCCAAGCCTCCGCTTGGCACAGAGGATGTCGGTGCTTCGTTTAAACATGAGAAGTGGAAGTCTCTTTTCGTTCCGCGTACGAGTATATTAGCTCGCTGCTAGTACGGGTAGTGTTAGCTGTCAGTTGTTTATATATACACAACACAATGTATAACGGCTCTGCGGTAATGGAAATGCAGACTCGTGCTGGAGACGGGGGCGCGGGTGCCCTTATATCAATGGTGACGTTTTAACGCCGCGTTTAGCTGCCGTTGCCAAGTCCTGTGGTGCTTCGGATGGCTCGGTTCACCGGCTTGACAGGTGGCTCCGTGTGCTGAAGGAAACGGTTGAATATTTGTCAAGCGGGTGACAGTCCCAATTTAACGCCGCTGAATTGTGAGCTCGGTGGATACGAAATCATTTAGACGATCAATTCCTTGGCCGATTTCAAACCCGTGCACCTCTGGCGATATCCTCGCTTCCCATCATATATCGTTCAGCAAGCGGCGATATCTCCGCCTGTCATGTACTCACAGCACTCCGAGCGAGACACTTCTACATCGATGTCGACATACAAATACAATACTTGGAGTAAACTTGGTTTGAACCCACCATTGTGCTCAGGTGTTCTATCCCGCCCGTGTAGCCGCTTGATGGGGGATAAACACCCCGGGCTATGCCACCCTAGGGGCTACCTCGGGGTTCGGAACTCTTTAATGAACCCTTCCCTGGCATCGCTGACATTGCAAGCTCATTCCTTCCGCCTAATCGAAATGAATGAACACTTTGATAAGTAAACAGTGTAGAGAAGCGTGGCGTTGAGGCCACGGGTCTCGTGGTTTTGCCTGAAACTTCACCTGGAATCGGGGACTGAACACTTTTAAAATAGAGCGTTGGGGAGGGAGGGACGCGGATTCGAGCCTCACGGTGGCACCGCTCGCTCAGTGCCACGGCGCCTGCGTAGGACGCCCCCCCCCCGTGTCGCAGGACACCGCCCCCCCCGTGTCACACCGCCCCCCCCGTGTCGCAGGACAGCGCCCCCCCCCCCCGTGTCGCAGGACACCGCCCCCCCCCCGTGTCGCAGGACACCGCCACCCCCCCGTGTCGCACCGCCCCCCCCCCCCGTGTCGCAGGACACCGCCACCCCGTGTCACACCGCCACCCCCCCGTGTCGCAGGACACCACCACCCCCCCGTGTCACACCGCCCCCCCCCGTGTCGCAGGACACCGCCACCCCCCCGTGTCACACCGCCCCCCCCCCGTGTCGCAGGACACCGCCACCCCGTGTCGCAGGACACCACCACCCCCCGTGTCACACCGCCCCCCCCGTGTCGCAGGACACCGCCACCCCCCCGTGTCACACCGCCCCCCCCGTGTCGCAGGACACCGCCACCCCCCCGTGTCGCAGGATGTGAAATGTCTTCAGTTGTGCATTCTCTTGCGCACTGCTCTCGATGAAGCAGAAGAAGTATTGTAAGCGTGCTTTAACCTCTGTACCTAAATGTCGTTACCTTCTTACATCTCCTGTTTGCATGTACTTGCCGTGCACCAATGTAAAGATACATTGGTATTGTAAGGTGGTGACTCTAGCCACGAATAATCAAACTCAGCGATGTATCTGATTGTTCTTATTTCGCTTTTTCATATATCACTATAGTATCATATATACATCACTATAGTTTTATATATATATCACTATAGTATTATATATACATCACTATAGTTTTATATACATCACTATAGTTTTATATACATCACTATAGTTTTATATATATATCACTATAGTATTATATATATCACTATAGTATTATATATACATCACTATAGTATTATATATCACTATAGTATTTTATATACATCACTATAGTATCATATATATGTCACTATAGTATTGGCTTGTTGCGATTGCAGGACATAACATTTATTTTAAACTATTTGCTTTGCGGGCCTAATTGTACGAGTAAGTCTGTACACAGGCAGGTTCCTGTACTCTTCCCATTCTGCGCACATTTGTATAACAAATAAACAGACTTTGTGTTAGTTTCTCTGCTGCTGGAGCCTGTTTACTAACCACAGAGCGCGCGTCTGTGTGTGGTGTGTGTGTCTGTGTGTGTGTCTGTGTGTGTGGTGTATGTGTCTGTGTGTGTGGTGTATGTGTCTGTGTGTGTGGTGTATGTGTCTGTGTGTGTGTCTGGTGTGTGTGTCTGTGTGTGGTGTGTGTGTCTGTGTGTTTGGTGTGTCTGTGTGTGGTGTCTGTGTGTGTGGTGTGTGTGTCTGTGTGTGGTGTGTGTGTGTCTGTGTTTGGTGTGTGTGTGTGTGGTGTGTGTTTGGTGTGTGTGTCTGTGTGTTTGGTGTGTCTGTGTGTGTGTGTGTGTGGTGTGTGTGTCTGTGTGTGGTGTGTGTGTCTGTGTGTGGTGTGTGTGTGTATATGTGTATGGTGTATGTGACTGTGTGTGGTGTGTGTCTGTGTGTTTGGTTTGTGTGTGGTGTGTGTGTGTCTGTGTGTCTGTGTTTGGTGTGTGTGTCTGTGTGTTTGGTGTGTGTGTGTCTGTGTGTTTGGTGTGTGTGTCTGTGTGTTTGGTGTGTGTGTGGTGTGTGTTTGTGTGTGTGTCTGTGTGTTTGGTGTGTGTGTCTGTGTGGTGTGTGTTTGGTGTGTGTCTGTGTGTTTGGTGTGTGTTTGGTGTGTGTGTCTGTGTGTTTGGTGTGTGTGTCTGTGTGTGTGGTGTGTGTTTGGTGTGTGTGTCTGTGTGTTTGGTGTGTGTGTGGTGTGTGTTTGTGTGTGTGTCTGTGTGTTTGGTGTGTGTGTCTGTGTGTTTGGTGTGTGTGTCTGTGTGTGTGGTGTGTGTTTGGTGTGTGTGTTTGGTGTGTGTGTGGTGTGTGTTTGTGTGTGTGTCTGTGTGTTTGGTGTGTGTTTGGTGTGTGTGTTTGTGAGTGTCTGTGTGTTTGGTGTGTGTTTCTGTGTGTCTGTGTGTTTGGTGTGTGTGTGGTGTGTGTTTGGTGTGTGTCTATGACCTGTCACAGGTGTTGGCTAAAGTGACCCCTCGGGACAGAGTCATCATGTTGGGTGACTTCAATGCCCGAGTTGGTCATGATGCTGGCACCTGGTCTGGAGTGATTGGAGGGCATGGGCCAGATCAGCTCAATAACAACGGTAGGAGGCTGCTAGATTTTTGTGCAGCCCATGGGCTTGTAATTACCAACACGCTGTTCCGGCATCGGCGCATCCACACAACATCATGGATGCATGCCGGGTCCAAGCAAGAACATCTGCTGGACTACATAGTGACGGACCAGCAGATGCGAGCCCATGATCTCGACACCAGGACCTACCGTGGAGTTAATCTGCCCTCTGACCATCGACTAGTCATCTGTAAGATGCGCCTGCCATTCTTCCACTCCGGTGGTGGGTGTACACCCAGGACCGCATTCCAACCTAAAGTGGCCTGGTCTCAGTTATCTGATGAAAGTTTCAAGCGAGAATTTCATCATCGCTTGCGGCTGGGATTGGCATCGTCCCCGACTCCTCCTGATGTCGAGGGTAAATGGGCGAGGTTTAGGACTGACTCATGCAGCTGCAATGGCTGCTTTGGGTACGCGGTCCAGACCTCCCCAGAGACCCTGGCTGACAGAGAAGGTGTTCAGGATGGTTGAGAAAAAGCGACATGCCCACTGTCATCGGCTACAGAATCCCACGTCAGAGAATGAGAAGGCTTACCGCAGCATTCGCTAGGAGGTTCGGAGAGCCGTGAGGAGATGGAGTCTGCCTCAGTGGCCCGTGATCACAAATCTCTATTTTACTCCATCAAAAAAGTAACCTGCAGCGCCACACCTATTACCATCATTAGGGGAAAAAACGGTGATCCAATCTCCGACCCCCAGGAACAGGTTTGCAGATTTGCTGAGCATTTCTGTGAGGTCCTGGGGGAGGGAAAATCCCTCAGCCAGGAAAACATCGTGGCACAAAGTGAGGATGACCCTGCTGAGGCTGCGGTGCCTCAAGTGTTGGAAGTCACCCCCTGTGAGTGGCTGGCTGAGGTGCCATCTGTTGAGGAAGTACTGAAGGCGATCCGGAGTCTGAGACCAGGAAAGGCAGCGGGCAGAGATGATCTCCCAAGCGAAATGCTGAGGGAGGGTGGCGTTTGTGCACAGACTGCCCTATATGACATCATAACAACAGTCTGGACCCCTGGACGGGTTCCGCAGGATTGGAAGGATGCCCTGGTGGTCCCCCTTTTTAAGAAGGGGGACCGCACAGACTGTAACAACTACAGGGGCATTTCACTCCTCAGTGTGCCGGGAAAGGTCCTGGCAAGGATTATTCAGCATCGCCTTGTCAGGCACGCTGAGGAGAGGCTTGCAGAGCCCCAATGCGGTTTCAGGAAAGGGCGGTCCTGCACAGATGCCATATTTTCTGTTCGTCTGCTACAGCAGAGGTGTAGGGAATTCCAACAAGACCTACATCTCTGCTTTATTGACCTGGTCAAGGCCTATGATACCATCAGTAGGCCTGGGCTCTGGGTTGTTCTTCGTGCTTTTGGAGTACCTGACCCTCTGCTCACAATCATTAAGGACCTTCATGATGGTGAGCGGGCCCGGGTAAAACTATGTGGTCGGGAGTCAGAGCCATTCCCTGTACACCTTGGGGTGCGACAGGGATGTCCTCTGGCTCCCACATTATTTTACATCTATTTTGACCACGTAGTTCGTGAAGCCTTCAATAGCTGTACCGGGGGAATCTCCATATGGTACAGATATAATGGGAGGCTGATCGATGCCCGGGTGCGGTCAAGGGATGGCTCCCTATTGCTCAACCACGTTATGTATGCTGATAATTTGGTAATAGCTGCTCATTCAGAGGAGGAGTTGGAGACGCTGCTGCTGAGACCGGAGCGTGCCACTAAGAGGTGGGGCCTTACCATCAGCCCCACCAAAACTAAGCACCTGCCTGGGTATTTTGTACCATCGGACACTCCACCCCCACAACTCCTAATCGGAGATGGGGCAGTTGTGGAGAGAGTGGAGAGTTTCCCATACCTGGGCAGTGTGCTTATGACCGGCTCCAGTTTAACAGCAGAGGTCTCACTCCGAATCAGTCGAGCGGCAATATCTTTTCATCGGTTGTGTAACGCTGTGTGGAAGCTACCTGGTCTGTCGCTCCGCACTAAGCTTCAGGTCTTCTCGGCCACGGTCATTCCCTCCTTTCTCTACGCTTGCGAAACGTGGACCCCCCGAATGGAACATCTTCGCCGGTTAGAAACATTTAGGCTGGCCTGCCTACGATCCATCCTGGGTTTAACCAGACTGGATTGTGTGAGGAGCTCACAAATCCTTGAAAGATCTGGGCAAGGTCCCATCGGTGAGCTCCTCCGGTGGGCAAGGCTGCGATGGCTGGGTCATGTAGCCCGCATGCCCAGCCACCGCATGCCGAAACAGCTTTTGTTCGGCCGGATTGAGGGGGCTAAACGGGCGCGGCATGGGCTAGAGAAGAGATGGAGTGATGTGGTACAGGAGGACGTGGAGCTGAGTGGACTTGCCGATGACTGGTACCAGCGGTGTCAAGATCGGCCTCTGTGGAGGAGGCTCGTGAAGGACGCTACTGGGCAGTTGGAGGCAGTCGCCCTCCAACAACAACGGAGGGGAGAGGAGCGACGCTCACAACAACGAGCGGAGCGCCGGGTGGCTAAAGCACAGCAGGTTGGCACTACTAGTAGGGGGCACAGGTGGTGCATCAGCCAGTCATCTCAGTCAGTCGACCCGTGGCACCTGCTGGGTCTGCCCCGTGACCTCCTGCCAGCGGGCGTTCGACACTTCACGTGGCCTCAGGGTGCACATAGTCTGGCACAAGCGTCGTGGTGACGTCACCACCACTTAGTGGCGAATGGCGGTTGTTGTTGTGAGTGTCTGTGTGTATTGCACCTTGTTGGAGCGTTTGGCAGTGTAGCGGTTAGCGCTACGCTGCGCTACAAACCCGGCGATCCGAGTTCGATTCCCGCTCACGGCCAACACCCAGTGACGATTATTTGAACCGGTCCTGGGCCTCTCCTAGGTCGACTCAACGGTGTGTAAACATCGCCACTGGGGAGACAAAGGCGGTCGGGCGTGGTGCTGGCCACCCACCCCCTCGTGTCCCGTTCCGGCCTCCATAGGGTGTGCTCCAGCTGGGGTCTGGTGCCGATATCTTCTGCCTTGGGCTCTGCCACCGATGGGCTGAATATGTCAACAACTCCAGCGCGTATAGGCAATGAAATATCTCACCAAGACGTTGCTTCTCGAGTCGTAGGAAAGTTCATCACCCGACGAATCGAAATCAAATCCAGAGCGCCGGTTTCCAAGGGTGAGCTGTTGAGATGAAGCGCCGCTTCTCGATCTCTCTCACCATCACTGTGTGGGCCCTTCACCCAGCAGTGGCCTGATCATGCCTCGCGACATGTGCGTGCTCGTCTCGTTCTCAAGCTGCACACTCCTCCCGAATGATTTGGCGCCGCCATTGTAATGTGGAATTTACACAATCGCGGCGTGTCGCTCTCGCCCTCGATCACCGACCGCGCGTTCCCCACCACGGATTCGTCAACTCAATGAGAACCGCAGAAAGCGTGAAGCCCCGGTTTAACCCCTCGCCCCGGGGCCACCCGGCTCAGACAATTCACGAAGCGGTTGGGGCTGTCTGTTTTGCGTGTGTTAGCTATTGCACACGTCTTCTTTGGTTCTTTCGGTAAAGTCACGTAGAATGAGAATAAAATAATAAATTGATAAAATAAAATAACACAATAATATTCTCACGTTTCGGCCACAACACAAGCGGCCTTCATCACGTGCGTGCTGTGTTCGGATAGGCCGTCTATGATTTTATTTTGATGTTTGTGCCTGCCTATCGTACCCGATCAGAGTTGAAGGTGGGGGCACGGTGCACTCGGCGAGTCGTAACAAAGTCAATGCACAGGACGAGAGCACCGCTGCGGTTGCCTTGTCGAGGCGTGGTGCGTGATGCAGTCGGCAGCATCGCCACAGTGAGGTCTGCCACACTGCCCCACGCCGCGAGCCAAGGCTGTAGAATGCACTGCGACGTCGCCAGGGGAACCCCAACGATTGACGTTCTGCGGTTCTCTGTAACCACGAAGAGCTGTTCGTTTAAAAAATACGCAAAGTTGCTCAACAAAAAAATAAAGTTTTCCGACATCCTATCTTGGGACACCACTTCGGGATTTATCTTCCCGAATGCCGTGACGGAATTCTTCTTGCTTAAAAAAAATATAAACCCGAGCCATGACCTTACCTGAAAATGTTTAATACTTTCAGATTGTCTTCCCCAAAGGGCCAGAAAAACGGTGAGCCGCTTAAAGCTGAGAACTGTGATGCACCACCAGAGGCACTCGAGACACTAATTCTGGATTGTAGAAGGACTGGCTTCGAGAGGTGATACTACTTCTGTTTTTATTTTACGAGGTAAGGCCCTCTGAACTATGTAGCTATTTTTCAGAAGCGACCTGGCCACAAATAAAAGCTCAACGAAGTGGCTTATCACGTGTAAATTTACAGCAGTCAAATACTCCAAACGCGTGTTTTATAAATGTGGACAGGAAAACTGGACCCAGAGAAAATCCACGCGACCACGGGGAGAGAGACACGCAAACTCCAAATATACAGCAGCAGGCATCGTCAGAGTCGGAATCGAACCCACGGCCTCCTGTATACGAGGCGAGGTAGTTAACATCTCGCCACCGTGGTTCGATTGAGACTGCGTTCTTAAATACGACGCGAATTGTTGTGTAGCAAGACAATCTACAATCCAAGAAAGACGATCATCGCCGATGGTTTAAAAATCTGCAAAAATGGCCAATAATCACTGAGTAAAAATGTAACAATTGTGTATATTCACAGAGTTGTTGTGAAGTGGCCCATGATTGCTTTAATTCAACATCGAATTGCGTCCGATTTGTGGCAATCAAATAAACATGAAATTGGTATGATGGAGCAAGCCTCCACAGAAATGAAATGTGCGATCGAAAAAAATTGATGACATTTTTATCAGCGGATTGTATATCAGCAGGAGACAAATTTCATATTTAACTGTAAAAAGTATATATACTATTTACGCATTAACACATGCTCTATACTGCTTATATATAATACAAAAATTGATATATTGTTAAGAGAGCAGCGTTCACCTTGAAATGGGTCAGGACACTAGTTCACACTAGTTCCACCACAAGTAACACACAGCTTACAAGTTCAATCGTACAGAAACAATTTAGGAATATGAAATTGTTGGTAAATTACCGAGATTAATTATGCGTTTAATTATTCCTCCCACCCTCAAGCTGTAATTTGATTTGTCACAATTCATAATTTTAATTCCATTTGCAAATCCATTTTTGGCCTTTTTTCCCGCCCAGTTTATATCGTTCCCCCCTTGTTGTCCTCTGTACTATTTTGCTCTTTTGTTCAACCTAAATGGATCATTCACAAATCATTTACATAATCAATCACGTTTCCACATATAACAGTATTTGACACGTGCATCGTGGGCATACAAATCCATTGCAATCATTAATTTCACACGTGCCTTAAATGCCAATGAAGAAACGTTTCCGGTCTGATACTGGGAACTGAAACAAGATGCACCGGTTATTGATTTTACGCAGTGGAATCCAAAAACAATGCATGTAAATTCCTTTGAGTCTTGCAACAATGGACTTAATTGCCAATTGAGATTTTTGATGGGTGGTCTATGCCACGTCCAGTTAGCTCGCAGTAACATTTATCCAGCCAAACAACATTTGTTTTGGTGTTGTACATAAAACTAAACTATTTTATTTACTAGGAATATAAAAAAACTGTTGAGAGCAAAGCTGAAGGAACCCAGAGAATAAAAATCCACGTGACCATGGGGGGAGATCTTGCAAACCCTTGATACACCAGGAATCGTCGGGATCGAACCCACGACCTCCTGCATAGCAGGTGAGATGTTATGGTTTCTCTTATCACTGCATGAACCACACGACCCAGGCAATGGCATCATTTCCAGAGTAACCCAATGGGTGAGACATGGTCCATATCTTTCCAGTATCTTTAAGCTACCTGGATGCAAATGCTCCTCCACACTCCATTGATGATACAAAAATACCGGGGCAAATATTTTTCTTAGTAGGGTTGGCGTTAAAGTCCCACTCTTTGGTGAGTTCCTGGGTCAACAGCAAGTTCTCAAAACTCGATCTCGGGAGATGCTGTATTCACCAGATCACTGGCGCACACCGCACGGGTTAACAGCCTCCATCTGCATCGGCCACAGATGCAGTTTTATTGGTAAAGCCACGGGAATGTCACACGAGGGGTGGACTTCCATTCCACACCCAGAGGTGCTGTCAACTCGTGGGTATGTGACTTGGGTACACCGCAGGCACTGGTGAAATTCCCTATATCTGCGTTAGACAGATGTAGAATAAGGTAACTGTGGAATAAGATGCCTGCCTGACCCCACAGTGGGCTTGTACAAGCTTCAGTTTGCATGGCGATACGGCATTGAATAACACATGCCGTGGTTTGTCAGGCACGCCGAAGAGGGAGATACCCTTTATAGATTGGCAAGCCTACAACTGGAGCTCACAGCTTCCCACATCTCACCGCCATGTCCCAAGAGAGACACCTTTCTTTATCTTGTTCAGAAGAGCCACTCCCCATTAGCTGACATTATCGCAGAAATAGCTGACCCTGCTTGAAATGTGTACAGTGCTTTCAATGACATGCGCGACGATCAGCAACACCTGTATTCCATGGAGATCGAGGGTCTACCAGTCGAGCTCCAGGCAGAGGAGTCGGGGCCTCTCCACCTCAATGATTGTGAGCAGCAGCAGCAGAATTTGCTTATTTCTGGAAACTCTCTGAGTGGGGGCACAGTGGTTTTGAACCCCCTGGGCTCCACCATATCACCGTTGGTTGAAGACATCATGGAGAGGTGTTCCCACCGTTCCTCCACGTGCTTATTACAGGAAGTAAATGTGGATGGGGTAGCAAGCCCACGTACAAGGCCTGGGCCCGCATTAGCTGCTGCCTTTCACACACACACGTGAACGCACAGACAGAAACATGATTGTAGTATAGTACCCAATTCTCTTATAAATTATCTTTCAAGCCACACATTTGTTTAAATACACGACTGTGTGAATGTATAATTACAAGTGGGAGTTTCATCAGTCATATAAATAGTCGTCTAGTGACAGCTGCGGATTGTTCCATTACTAGAGGAGCAGGCGTTTAAACAGTCGTATAGGTATCGTGTTTTCTCCTGCGCCACCGGCGGGGACTAAAGCGCGGGTATCATCCGCACCTCGCGGCCACCCCCTCTCCTCGCATGCAATCCGCCGGCATTCTCCTCTGCGCGCTAAGTCCGTTTGGAGACCACGTGGCACACGGAGCCGCAGCCGTTCTTTCGCGTCCCCGCCTCGGGGTCGTCGGGCGGGCTACCCGCCCCGTCCGCGGGCGGCGAGGCGACGGCATCGTCGCGCTCCGCGTCCTCGCTCGCCGGCGCGCCCTTGCATTTCCTGAAATCAAACGACGACAAAAGCGAACAACATTCACCCGCGTGACAACTTCATTCGGTTGGCTCCGTTGGGTGGAGGGTTGGAGTTAAACAAAAAACGTTGCCATTATACGCGACAAGACGATCTAACCCAAAATAAACTAATTGTGAATCACATTATTTGGTCGTGACAGCTTTTGTGTAACATTAATATCCCAGCGGAGACTGCGCTACCGCCGGTGCTGTGTCACTGTCCCGAGATCGCTTGTGTGGGGTGCGCTGTTGTGTGTAGGCTTTGCGCAAGTGCCTTCTGCTCACTTGTCCCTGTTGAAGACGATGAACTCCTGGCGAACGTTCTCCAGGAACTCCTGCAGGTGCTCGTTCTCCTGCTGAGGGGGGCGACACGGCGGGGGTGGAACGCATCGTGACACAAGCACCGCGTCGGTCGTGCGCATCGACCGGAGAGAATTGTGCACGTGCCTCTAGCATAATAAGGCTATCCTCTTTCTGGCTTACTAAACACAGGGATCTGTCACTGAGCGGCCCTATTGCTGAGCAGCGCAATTGTGACCTCGAACCGGCATCATTCTTTGAATGGCTGCAGGGGGGTGAATCGTTGAAATTCTCCAAATGGTGACCTCCAAAGTTATTCTGTGTTTGTACCAATTCTGTGTCCGTCTAACTTCGCGGTGCGTATGACACCACACGCGGTGGGAGCAGCGGTGACGCGGTTAGTGCACTACGTCATGAAGCTGGTAACTCAAGTGTTATTCCCACGACAAAGTTTGGTCAATGTGTGGTCAAGTATGGTCAAACGACCCCCATGACTCATACGGCGTCGGAAGGTCCTCATCCAGCAGTGGACTGTCAAAAGGGCAGGACATGTAGGGGCACCAATCATTTGTAATGCCACTCGCCGCCCACCTCCATATATCTCTACACGTAATGTCTACGGCTCATCCCTTCATTCACACCCCAACATCCATTCATTCACACCCCATCATCCCTTCATTCACGCCCCATCATCCCTTCATTCACACCCAATCATCCCTTCATTCACACCCCATCATCCCTTCATTCACACTCCATCATACCTTCATTCACACCCCATCATCCCTTCATTCACACTCCATCATCCCTTCATTCACACCCCATCATCCCTTCATTCACACCCCATCATCCCTTCATTCACACCCCATCATCCCTTCATTCACACTCCATCATCCCTTCATTCACACCCCATCATCCCTTCATTCACACCCCATCATCCCTTCATTCACACTCCATCATCCCTTCATTCACACCCCATCATCCCTTCATTCACACCCCATCATCCCTTCATTCACACCCCATCATCCCTTCATTCACACCCCATCATCCCTTCATTCACACCCCATCGTCGTCGTGCGTCGGGTGCCTAGCGCTGCTCCCATGCCCTCCTACCGTCCGCCATCTGGCCGAGCAGCGTACCGAGTGCGAGCTTTCCTTGCTGCCCTCGCGCATCTTGCTCTTCGCCAGTCGCTTCTTCTTTTTGTGCAGCGGCTTCGCCTCCAGGATCATCTCCTCCAGCTCGAACGTCGGGTCGCAGTTCAGCTGCCCTTTCTGAGCAGGCCACGCCAAGATAAAGGGAACAACTCATGTCCAAGCAACAGCCGGGAGAATGAAACAAAATCATTGTCGTCAGCCACGATCCATCCACTGCTGGATGAACGCTCATCTCGCACGCTCTCGTGATGTTAACCATCCGTCGAGTTACTCAGCAGAAGGCGATTTCATCGTTCCGTCTCGGCGACAGACGTCATCTCCAGCGCGGTGCCTCCTCTGTTCTTGATCTCCGGCCACCGTCGCTTCCAGCGCGAGATGATGACCCATGACTGCTTACTTTTCCTCACAGTCAAGTTGATGCCTCTGCCTTGTGTATACATTCTCTAATCCTCGTGTTCCTCTTCTTATCTCTCATTGTAACTCTCTCAATGCTTCTTTGCGCCATGTTCAGCTTTTGTTCCAATTTTCTCTGTCTATGTCCATGTTTCTGATCCACGCGAATATGATTCATATCAAAACAAAATAAGCCTCGTTAATTAAGGACTATTATACACCTGTGTTTGCTCGTTATACTCCACGTGCGATTGGCATCATGTCAGGGTACAAACACATTTGCATCGGTCGTGCTCGCAGCGAGCAGTGTACCACCTTGCCGCGGAGAACGGCCGCCCCCAGAAGATGGCATCACAGAACTACTTCTGAGGTCCCTTCAAGGGGCCTCGTGATCCACACCCCTGTGGCCTCATTGCTTTTAATGCTCTGAAAGGAGTCTGTGTCACAAGAGTTGAATCATCACGGCTGGACCAAGATGAAGGCTGCACCTTCTCAGCTTGTATTTTGTGTGCGGTGACGAGGCTGAAACTCAAACGCGGGCGTTAGTGCTCTGATGGGAGCTCAGCTGCGTGAGTCGCCCCGCTGCTTCACGGATTGGGTCGGTTTGAAATGACATTGAGCCACTATTGTTATCGGCATTATTACCCTTAATAACCATTACGCCAATGTAATTTCACAATACACTCAATACTATTGAATTTTCTTATTCCATTTCTTTGCAGCGTGTATAAAACAATCCGACATTATGGTAAGTAAATCAATAAGAGCCATTTCGTGTTACTACCTTGCTGTATCTGTGCGTTTGTGCTCCACATGGGCAGTGGCCAAGCTCATGACACACGTCTCCCCCACGTCCAATACCTCTCCTCCCTGCTCACTCCACGGACCACGGCAAGCCGCCGCCACGCCCTAACGAGCACGCCCACTCACCTGCTCATGGGACCCAGAACCAGGACTGGCAACCGTCTAGAACTCTCTCCCGCTGCTGCACAGTGCAGCAGCATCCAAGCACGATTCACCTTCAAGCAGAAGCTCAATGCCCTCACCTATCCCAGCACCTGTCCAGACTCAACAGCTTGCTCTTCTCCTCTGTCTGTGACTGTCTCTTCTCTCAGATAAAACAATAAAATATGCGCCTCCTTTATCCCCACGAAGCTAATCCCCACAGCTTTGTGCAGTGTCTAGAGAAGCAGTAGCATTTAAATGCCATCTAAACCCCAAATGTGAAGTGTAAATTGCAACCATCGTGGACACAAATATAAACAATACAGCCGCAATGTAAACCATTGCTAACAATCTGTTCAATATCCATTCATCACAGTCTCCATTGTGATGACACACCGAGGAATGAGAGGTCTCGGGATTGGCTGTCGAAACGTCCGGATATGAAATCACCAAGGTTGGAGAATAATCTTGCTGGTGAGACACTTCCTTACCCACATGTTTAGAGGTCCAGCCTAAAACCCAATGGGGCCACAAATGAATGCGTTTAAACCAGAGGAGATGTACCAGGCTACTCACATTTGGCAGGAAGGAGGGTGTCACCTTCTTCTGGAGCACGGCTTCCCAGTTGACGTCGGCCAGCAGCGGCGAGCCCTGCACCCGGGCGAGGCTCGCCCAGCGGTTCTTGGGCTTCAGACACAGCAACTGCACCACGGCAGATGGAGCAGGGACATGCCGGATTGTCCGGCGTGCCCATTAGAAGGTGCGCGTTAACCAGGCGCATTAACCGGGCGCGTTAACCGGGCGTGTTAACCGGGCGCGTTAACCAGGCGTGTTAAACGTGTTAACCGTGCTAGCCGGGCATGTCAGCCGGGCGTGTCAACCGGGCGTGTCAGCCGGGCGTGTTAGCCTGGCGTGTTAGTTAACCAGGCGTGTTATAGCCAGGCGTGTTAACCAGACAAGTTTGAAGTAACAGAATTGCCCATTCAGATTTGTCCACTTTGTGATATTACATGCTACTTATATTCCACAGCGTGGCAATCTCCTTCCGGCCAACGTCTAAAGTGGCACTCTGCGAGGAGCCCCGCTCACGTAGACAGACTGGCGGCCGTGCGAGTAGGCACCGGCCAGCTCGTTATCTGTCTCGTATCATCGCGATAACACGTGGAAGAGAAGCTCAAGTATAAGAAAGGGTCACGTGGATTTGAAACCGTTTTACACTTGACCATAATCGTTTGTGTTCAAGTTTTTGTGTCTCACAAGCAGTAGAGTAGCAATTTGTGCGCTGCGCTACGAACCTGGCGAGACGAGTTTGATTCCTGCTCATGGGTTAACATCAGTGTTGAATATCTTAACTGGTCCTGGGCCTAGGCTGATTCACTCTTAGACGAGTGCAGTGTGTAAAGATTAGCACTGGGGAAACAAACATGGCCAGGCGTGGTGCTTGCCACCCACCCCTCGTGTACCGTACCAGCCTAAATAGGTGCTCGTTAACAGCACTTGGCCCAACAGCCTGTTAAAGGCTATACGGTGGATCTTTGTCTTTGCGTCTCATGGAGTTGCACTGGCTGTCCACAGGGAGATGGGGCCCAGCTGCATAGACACAGGCGCTGCTGCGACAGACGGCATCGTTAACCGCCACTTATTCAAATCTTTAAATGGCGAGAAAACTCCGCGTAACAGAAACATGCAGGCCGGAAAACGAAAAGCTTCGACGACACAGTGCACACAGAAAGCTCTCAACACAACGATATCAACGTAGCCCACCAATGCAGACCCCTGCAGCAGCCGCCGCGACTATGAACGGTGTGGCCGAGGAAGCGTCACGGCATGCGGGAAACGGCACCGGCTGCTGGGGGAAACCGCAGACCTGGCACGCACCCTGCCACACCGCCCCACAACCGGCCACACCCCGCCACACCGCCCCACACCCCGCCACACCGCACCGCTCGCACGTCGCGGTCACTTCACCGGCCTCGTGAATTGAACCGAAAGAAGCTCTTGGCCCAGTTTGGAAATTCAATTTCACTCTGGTTACTTTACACCACACTGGGCGCGATTTGCTTTTTTAGAAAGCAAAACGTGACAGGCCTCTCCAGTGTCCGTTCCAGGACCGCGTCCCGGGTAACGGCACAACAGGGACAACACTCCCAAGGATGGCAGATAATGTTGCTCGGCGCTCCGAGTGTTCCATGACAAGAGAGAGCGTTACAGCAGCTATCGGAGGGTGCGACACGGGTTCTCTCATTGTGGGAGTACCGTTATTACCACGGGATTGTGCTTATAAAAGGTACTCTTATTGTTATTATCATGACTCGTACTTTTATTGTAAATATATTTTAATTATTGTTACATGATTGGGCTGTGACATTATAAAGCCTGTGACATCATCAAACCCATGAGGTAAATTATAACGGATGGTGGATGCAATGGGGGGGGCATAATGTAGGAGATCTCCCCCCCCCCCCTCTTGAGACCTCAAAATATTTATTTCATCGACATTTACCAGAGAAAATACGATGAATTTTGTATCACGATGAACATAAGGCCCTTTTTAACAAGTTTGGAAATTTGGGATCACCTCCCCCCCCCCCTTCCCTTGGGAAGTTTGTGGTTGCCGCGTGTGGCGAGAACTCCCGGCACCCCCCCACTCCGGGACGACTCGGCACCCTAGGGGTGGTGGGCAGGCGAGGGGAAGGAGAGGAGTCTGTAGACTTCCACCAACTGTACACCGGCTTCGTCCTCGCTGGGACTCATCTGTACAGTGCTGTCGTGATGGGTTTCTGATGTGCCGGAATGGGTTTTCTCGTTATTTTTCATATTCGAATCACAAAGTCATCGTACAAAGAAAGCAGTTTCGATTTCCTGAATCTGCAACAAAGTGAGCATGCAGCACATGGATAGGAATGGAGGTAGGATGCTTCAGCAGTCCGGACTATCGTAATTGTATGGCATTTTGCCAACACATCATGCTGCTGCACATATACCGCAACCAGGCATTCCCCCATGCGCTACACGTTCAGTCACCTGCTCAGTCTTGCCACAGTCCAGCCTTCCTCTCGCTCAGCAGCAGCTCACCTTGCGCAGAAGACTGGCCATCTCCTGCGACCAGCAGGAAGAGTAGTGCACAGACTTGGTGTCCAGGATTTGCAGGATCTCATCTATAGTGGTACTTGAATGAATCTCATATGGCCTCTGGGACAAGTGAACACAAGGTATTGACTTCTTTTAGCAAAACTTTATGATAACACTTCATTGTCCAAATATAATACAACGCTTAGTTAATGGGCCATATATTTTAAGCATTTGACAGTCTTGCCACAAATTTATATTGCCATTAAAAACCTTTTAACTGGCCTTCACCTTGTAAAAATACTCAAACGATCAATTAAGTGATAAACAAGAAATAGTGCAGTTTCCACAATATACGCCTTCGTGCACAATTTGCCCAGACAACGTGGGCACTGCAGCACGCGTGTCCCTGAGCCACCAGTGGGCCCTCTCAGCCGGGCCCCGTGTTGCCACATAAAGCGGGGGGGGGGGGGGCGTCCCCACCCGGCCCTCACTCGGCGCCCGTCACGCCCCAAGACGCGGGGCGTCCCCCGTCACGCCCCAACACCCCACCCCCCCCTCCCCCCCGGTGCCCAGGTCGCGCTGCTGCTCTTGGCGCCGCACCGCTAGCGCGTCCCCCGCCCCCCCCCCCCCCCCCCCCGTTCTAAAGGAATCCCATATTGCCGCTCGAGAGGGACCTGGAAAAACGTTTGCCGACAGAATACCGTGAGGTTGCCGGTACGGCACACCGGTAGCAGCAACACGCCGGCACACCGGTCGCTCAATTCTGCATCGCTGCGCTCGCCAACGACGTGCGGACAGACGGTTCATAACGTAAAAATCATAAAGACGCTTTTCCCTCCTATCGCTGCCTCTGTGAGCTTTTAAAGTATTGATGTACATTTTGTTCCCCCTTCAAAAGGTTATATTTATTACATTGTCCATGTGCGGATGTCATGAAAGTTTAATGCCGCTGCCTGTCACATTGTTAAAAACATCTTGACCGCATTGAATAAAAGTGTCAACAACTTCACACACGGTCTCTGAGAAGCATGTTGTGGTGTGTGTGCATCATAGTAACATGTAGATGTTCAGCGGTAACTTCTGTAATCAGACAATGGGATATACTTACTTCACGTTGCGCTAAGTAACACCATCTAAACATGTACTGTGCAGACCGGGCAGATACCTACAATAACAATCGGGTGACTTCACGATGTTTGTTATAAACCATGCATAGCCAAAGGCTCCCTCTGCCTTGCATTCACCCGTCATTTTGTGTGGATCCCAAGGGCAGGAGTTGTGGTGGTGGTGGTATCCCGCTTTGCCAACCACACACCTCTCATCCTTAGTTACCGACATTAGCATTTCCCAATACGCTAAAATCTGTGAACATGTGCCTCATGACAATGCATCCTGTTAAGAAACGTGATTTCTTTTTTCAGGAAAGCCTCGCTAAGTGGGCCACGCAATTGTGATATTTGCATTGTTCGTTTTCAAAGACTGTGTTGTGAAAAATGTTTCAAAAGCCAAATCTCTCAAAAATCAGTATCTTGCCTTTTTCAGATATTTCGCAGGGAACATCCTCTCATGGAACATCTCTTTCCAAGGGTATCCAGGAAGTAATTATTCTGGTCTGACTGGCCACTGTATAAAATGATTAGCTGAAGAATAGTTTAGTTGTATTGTATGCTAAGGAAGACAGTAGATTATTGTTTAATGCGTCTTTATAACAGATTCTGTTGTCAGCCAATGAGAAACGATAGCCATGTTATTTGAGCGAAATAAAAAAATCATTAAATAAATATTGTATCAAATATTAATTTGGGTAAAAATGTAGGTCCCCCAAAGAGATGCAACCCCAACAAATCCGCAAGGACTATCTTACTCTAGAATTACAGCTTTAAATCTCCTAAAACAAATACAAGTTTGAAAATTGTATTTTCGGAATGAAAATAGGTGACCCAAAAAAGCCATTCCCTACATTTAAACATAAACAAAGTAAAAACACCCAGGGGATATTTACGAAGCCATCTCATCGGCCAAGGGGGAGCAAACGAACGTTCCCTCGGCCGCTGCGAGTAAGCCGTGTGTGCAGCGTGCACGCTGTCCGCACTACGCACCCATCCCCGCAGCAGCTCGTACGCCGTGACGCCCAGCGACCACCAGTCCACGGCCGACGAGTACCGCGGGGCGCCCTCCACGTACGAGCGGAACATCTCGGGAGCTGAGTCGGCGCCAAGCGAGGGGGGCGGCAGAGTACACCACAGCTCCGTCACCATCGGCTCAAACAGCTCAGCTAAACGTACAACGTCATTACGTTTTCTTAATGATCATTATTATTAGCGGTAGTCGAGCGACACGCGAAAATTCATTTTAGGATTATTTTGAAAGAGCGTGCTTCAGCAGCAGCTTCTGGGAGCTCGTGTGTATCCTCGCCTGTTTGTTTACAAATGAACAACTCGTTGGTTGGCAAATTCCTACCAAAAGATGGGTATCTGTGCGGGAGGTGGGAGTGGGGACTGGATCGGCCACTCAGCACCCGGAACCATGCCGTGGGGGTGGCACGCCACCTCTTGCGAACCACTGATCTATCTACACGATCAGCAATTGATTTTAATTTCCCTTCCTCTGTCATCCATCCTTGTAAGTTGTTTATTTGGGGGGGGACATGCCTTGCGCCACGGCATGTCCGATTCTGCGTTATCATGAGCCGTGTGTCATGTAGGGCTTTGAGCATATGTTGCACATAAACCAGCAGTACTTGAGAAGCTGAAGTCACTGGTAAATTTAAGAATTTGACTTACACGCTGTAAACAACAGTTTGAACACCCATTACACACACAAGTGATGGATCAGCCTCGGAGCTCTAAGAAAATCAAATTTTCTTCAAAATTTTTACACGTAAATATCACCTATGAAATCTATGTTAAATGAGTCGTAGGTGAAATTATTTAGTCAGTGTAAAAAAAAAGACGTCGACTTGAATGATTGATGCACTTTTCATAAACACAGCATAAAATGCAGACTAATGCACCACTTTTTTATTTATATGTACTGGCAACCACATCCAATATCGTGAGCAGCCTAGACATGCCCCTGCGCAAATGCGAGCGGTGTCTGTGTGTCTGTGTACATGCGAGCAGTGTGTATCTGTATACATGCGAGCCGTGTCTGTTTGTCTGTGTACATGCGAGCGGTGTGTGTGTCTCTTGGGATGGGAAGGCAGTGCCGTCTCACCCATGTAGGGCTTTGTGCCAGCCATGGAGGACGCCTGCTCGCCTTCCTTCACCACAGTGGCAATGTTGAAGTCTGTAATGTGTGCATGCCCTGCAAGAAAACGGTGTCAATGCAGCATTACATGACGCATCGCTTTTTTGATTAACGTGGAACTTACACCAAACCTGGCTCCAGCTACTCTCGGATTGGGGGGGGGCAGTAGAGCTGTTGTTTGGGGGGCCACCTGAACACACCCTCACCCCACACTGCAAGTGCCAGCCCCGTCTTAAGCTCCGAGTACACAGCGCAATCCCTGCATTTAAGAATATAGCGTTTACGGTTCGCTCTGACTATATACATGTTATATTCATGCTGAATGGAACACTATTTATGTATTACATAAACAGATCGTATGAGACAACACAAACGAAGCAGTGCAAAGCAATGCTCGATCAAATAATTTCTCTGAGTACCGGCGATGTGAACCGCTACATCCATTTAAGACTTCTAATAATAATAGAACTACTACTGCACGAGGTGGCTATACTACGTGTTACCTTGCTATGACTCTTCCCTTCTATAAATGTCGAACTCCTGGTTACCACAGTGGGCCTTACCAACGTGCATGTTAGCATTCTGACGAATGTATAACCGTGGCTAATTGGTCGGCGTGACTGTGGTCACCGCGACCGGACCATGGGACATATAGCGGCTCAATTCCTGATTCCCAAATATGTAGGGGGAGGCATCATCACAGGGATTGGGCACCCTTTGACGCAATCACCTGGCTCAACCACATCAGTGTATAATCACAGTAGTAGCTCTACATCCACAACAGCTGTATGAACAAAAACAAGATGATCAATGGGTGCCAATGGAACCGACAGTCCCAGGTGTTTGCTGCACAACTGAAATTTGTAAACATATTAACGTGAAGGTTTCTTTGTCAAAATAGAAATACAATGCTTTAATAATATTTTACCCCTGCTCTATACCCTGGCTGCGCCATATCGCCGACCCACTATGGACCACTGCGCTGTGTGCAGGGTAGCTGCGCTAGTTGTTTGAATTAAAAACACGAAGTGGATCTGCCAATATTTTCCACATTCCTACCAACAGGCAGTGAATTGACGACTTCTGCCTCCCCACCACAGCAGCTTATGATTTCTTCTTCAGTGCCCCAACTCTCAGCCAGAGCTGCAGAAGCAGGGAATAAGTCTGCCACTGATGTGTCGTCATCCGCCGCACACCCTGAGGGATTAACCTATGTGGAGTGGAAAAGGTCCGGGCCCCAGGGTCTTAGAGAGTCGCTGCCTTGGAAGCTCAAAGCCCACCGATGGGACCAGAGTGATAATGCCAAACAGGCCTCTTAACAATTGCCCAGTGAAAAGATCAAATCGTGTTTATGTATGGTTGCGCTTTTGTATGCCTGTATATCTGGGCGGTGGGCGGTGTGCTTTAGCATGCATAAAACACCATCACCGCCACCACCACCGCCACGTCTCGAATGAATAATACAACGGCTTCCCCTCCTATGTTTTCGTTCAAACTTTATAATGTGTCACTATGGCTGGTGTTGGCTGGAGCCGGATAATTGCGTCAGGAGTAGCGGAGTGTATCACTGTGATGCCCCCTTCACGTTTGTGAATCGCCTATTGAGACGTTATGCGTGCCATGGTCTGTTCTGGGTGACCACAGTCGCACTGCAAGAGTGCGGCCCTTAATTTGGATTAGCGTTTGACATCAGTACACAAACACGACCACCAAATCGGTCTCGGGTTTCTGCCGAACCCCATTAGGCCATTAACGTGTACAGTATAAATATACATACAGTACAGTATAATAATGTGCTTGCTGCAATAGTATTGACTCCAGCAAGGCAAATGCAACACTGTATATGAATTGGATTATATCTATGAAATTTTAATGACTGCTTTACATCTCGAAGCAAGGCAGCATTCAGATGGGTCGACCTGTGGCAGGCTCCGCGAATACATTAATATTCACTCGAGTTCCCAGGGGGGCCTGGCGAGAAGGGGGATTGTTATCGGCACTGTTCTTCACAGCTCTCACGTCTCGAATGAATAATACAACAGGTGCAAGAATTTACTTTTAAACAAAATATTACAATTACAACGGTGCGGTTCAGTACACGTGTCACCTGGTGCCGCTTCTGAGGTTTGATTGGTTTAAAGCGGTTGTGATAAATGACAATAATTGGACAAATATGGAGAAAACTTTAATTTGACAATGTTTAATAATTTATATTCATTCATAATTACCTTTGTGGAGCATGCCCAGTGGGGTGGGGATTGTTGGATGTAGCGACGACGACAGGGAAACACTGTGCTGCTAAATCATTTAGACTGCAGGTGGCAGCTCTATTGCTCGGGAAATCCACAGGATCGTCATCACTGTCATCAGCCATGGCCAATCCACTGCTGGATGAAGGCCTCCCACATCTCTCACAATTCTGCAATGTAATAATGTCCATTTCCTAAACCCCTTGTTTAAAACAAAATTATGTTAATTATTTTCACGCCTTTGCTGGCGGCGAACTCTCGCAGATGCTGAACCTAGGGACAAGTGATAGAAAATGATGTCGTGGGATCTGACATGACCTCGGATCTTACTTGCCTCTGGTCAGTTGGAGGCAAATGACAAGCTGAAGCAATCCTTGAATGATCTTCCTATTGGTCAGACTAAATTGTTTTCCCACCTGATGACGGACGCCTGTGTTGTGCCCGAAAGGTCGTTATTTATTTTATTTTATACCTACGTGACTTTACCGAAAGAACCAAAGAGTATATATTCTAAAGTGCCACAACTTTATGAGTAGTACACTATATAAAAGCATGTTACGTACATTATAATGAGAGGGAGTACATGAAATGTATCGTAATTGATAACAAGCGTTCCATGTGTTCTCTACTGCCATGTATATTTTTTGTAAGATGAAAAAAATGGGAGCGAGAACAACGTTACAAAGTTGCTTTGTAGAAACCAATTTCCTGCCACTTGGAATGGGTTTTCAGAAGCTCAGCGGGAAGTGTCTAATGCAGAGTCCAATATATATGCAAACAGGTCCAAGGGCATCTTACCATGTTCATCAAGAAGAATATTGTCCGGTTTGATATCCCTGTAAAAAAAAAAACAACAATCATAAACACAGATTTAAAATACTAATGTTTCACATACCATGATGATTTTCATTCAGCATATTCACTTCTATTACTCGATGAATGTTCCTGGTCTCTGACCAGAAAATACACAACATTAATTGACCGTTTGCTAAAATGACTCGAAGGTATTGGTAATGAATTAATAATTTGAAACAAGCAATCATATTTGTATTTCCCATTCGGTGCACACTACCGCTTAATGATGCGTATTGGTCATCATTAATTTAAGTAGTTTGATATATATAAGTTGTTCAAAATGTATATGCCACTGATTTTTACTTTGTTATATATCTGTGGATAAATCTGCAGCCCTGCAGAATCTCACTCAGAGCTCGAGAGAGCTCACTCTAGAGGGTACTTGGCCTACTCTTCCATGCTTCACATATACTGTAAACAGTATGTAGTCTCCATAATTCACCCTCTAATCACAGTGGGAGATGCACTGCATGGGAAGGAGTGACTATTAATGGAGCTCTGCTCTTAGTCCATGGAATCTTTAGTGCAGTAAAACTGAGAGTGACCTCCAGTGGGCCAAGATCATCGACAACAGTATAGTACGACCTTGCAAAATCAACGCTTTTAGGGGTGTAACAATGCATACATTCATCGATTCATCGACTGTACTTTCTTAGGCTCACAGCACTGTGAAATCACCACAGCTGAGAATCATCGCAGACGAACGGCATCACATTTATTCTCGCTATTTAACAACTTAAAAAATAAACTTGAACCATTATTAAGCAAGTCTCAGTCCTGTGTGTGTGTGCGTGTCCAGGTAAATCCCCCTATGTCCCCATTTGTCCCTCCTTCTCCAACACTCTCTGTGCAACTCCCGCCGCGCTCCACCACCCTTCTCCTGCCACCCCCGCCTCTTTGTGCTACCAGCCCAGCGCCTTCTCATTTCCAGCCGTCGCCTCATGGGGACAAGCACAGGTTTAAGCTTGGGGTCGAGCGTTTATTTGAACTTGAGCATCGTTTTTCAGCATGGGGTTCGAGAAAGGGTTCGAGCATGGACTCATAATGGATTCGACCATGGATTCGACCATGGTTTTGACTGGAATTGCTTATATGGGCAATCACACATCCAGGATAACCTTCATTGGCCATGCCATACCTCGTCTATATTATCACAATTCATATTTCCATATTACACAGACCTCTTTACAGCACTCACCAGTCTCTCCACAAGTATACATTTAAATCTGGTTAGGCCAACTGGCTTTTAGCTCCACTCTGCACTAGTTTCTTATATTTGTTTAACAGTACTCACCCTCCTACTGTTTCTCTGCCTGCATGCCTCTCGTGTTACACTTATTTAAGTATCTCTGAACTTGGTACCCTTCTTATCAAGGTTACTCCGACCTATTAATAATAATCAGTTGGTCCACTTGCATCACAATTTGTAAGAACCCATTCAATGTAACACGTCCACATGAACCCTTCAGCCACGAAAGGCTGCTACGTCCACCGCAATTTAAAACAATAATTTATATTTAAATCGAATCACATTCAGTGTCGTAACAATTCATCGAATCGTGTGGAGAATCATTACAAACACTGCTAGGGGGGTAGCTACGTGTCTCGGTGTCTTCCCAGCTATCAATCACTACACCGCAACAAAATGAACTCTGATTGAATTCCCTGCGCTGGCCCAGACGTCACCCAGATAAACGAAATCTGTGCAGTCTTCTCTGGTATCGCGGTAGCTCTAAAAAGTGGTGTAATAATGCATTGATCCATCGATCAAAGATTACCGGGGAACAGCTCATCTCCTAAATCTGTATGCCAGTTATTGATTGTGGTGATATATAAATTGAAAAATCGGTTCCAATTACAACTTTCAAGAGATTGTATTGAATTTTCCACTCTGCTGTGCATTCCATCCTTGATAAAATAAAATAATGTTGCGGTCAGCTGGTTCTGTGCGTGAACAGTGGCCCACGTCACCGAGCCGAGCGCCGCCGTCATCGCTGCGGCTGTGCATGACAGCGCTCAGTGACAGCGCCAGCACGTCATGCTGGCGTGGGGGGTGGTGGTGGTGGAGGGGGGGGACTTGCCCGGGCCCAGCCGGAATTACTCCCTTCCAGTGGCCAGCCGCGTCATCACGCCGAGGGGGTGTCTCTGCAGGCCCTGCCGCCGCTACATTTTTCACGGTTCCACTGAGACTGTTCGGGAATGTGCTGGTACCGTGGTGTGGTCGGGGTGGGTGGGTGGACGGTGAACTAGACTGGCTTTCTTTCGGTCATGAAAATGGATTTTCTCCTTGAACTTGATCTGTTTTTCGACTGATGGCGATTACGTCCCATTTGTGTGTGCCAGGGTTTAACGCTGCTTTATTGTCTGGTAATTGATTTCCAAACATTTTTCTCTTTTTTGTTTTGCCCTCGGTGTTCCGTAGGTTTTATTGGCATTGTGAATTGTTTTTTATATGTTGTGTTGTATTTACGTACTGAATAAATAATTTTCCTCATCTTAAAAAATTGTGATTCCATCACTGGAATTTTTACACTCACCCAAGTTTTCTGAAAGAATATAGCAGAACATTTGTATGCATGGTGTATATTAAACACGTTCCACTCTAGTCAAAGGAACATGCATATAAAAATATAGTTCTTATCCTGCATCAATGCTGTGTCCTGGGCTGTCTGATACAAGTTTTAAAACTTGTTCATGAGAACACAGACTCAGTTCAGGCGCGTCATAATTATTTCACTTGAGTGACATCAATGCGACATCCTTACAGCTTAATAAGGCAATGCAAGTGACATCTCTACAATGCTGACAGAGTGGCTGGTCATGATATTGCTACATTCCCTGTGCATTACATAACAGCTTCTATGCCCCAAAAATGAGAGATTTTTTAACATCACCGTGAGAGCATGAGACAGATCCCACAGTGAACCTTGCACTGAATGAATGATTTCTCGACAGCTGACAATAACTCACCGTGAACCCCGTGACACAGCGAACCTAAGTAGCAGTGCTCCTGTGATTGAGTTTGGTGCACCGTACGCGTATAAGCAATGCTTTGTTGCGCGACACAAGGAGATCCCATCCCACTCTGCTGTTACAGCTCAGAGACGGTTTTAAAGCCTCACTTCGTTTTACCCATGGGGATGAACACAAGAGCCTTTTTGTCGTCAATAATATTTTCAATGATGGCTCCCAATAAAAAATAATCGAGTTCCCGTCGTGCCACGTGTGATGTGTGATATCGGACAGACCTCACAGCAGGTGGCTTCCCAACACATCTATTTTAACACACCATGCTCACACATTGTGCGAACGATGCGCGAGATGAGGTGCCGAATGAAGACATGGAGAGTAATGGTGTACCATGCTAAAACACAGAAACGTTGCCGTGGCTACAATATCGTAGTTTCATATTTCACTCGAACAACTTTAAACAAATTGATTTAAGTCCCTGTGAGCACTGCTATTTTTGTTGTTTAACACACCGTTTCTGAGCACACATCCCAAGTCCTAAAATTACAAGTAGCCAACAACAAACAGCACGATCAAAGTTGTAATAGATAATAGTCAAGGCATTTCTTGAATTGAGCAAGGTTATCAAAAGAGCTAGCGAAAAGAGATGATGGGAGGAAATTCCAAAAAGCAGATTTGCAGAAAAATTTGTTTCATGACCTGTCATGTAGTGAGTGGTTGGGTGAGTGAGTGAGTAAGGAAATGAGCGAGCGAGTCGAGAAATGAGCGAATGAGTAGTTGGGTGAATGAGATTTATGGGAACGGTCGTCTGGCAATTGCTTTCAGGTAAGGCTCATTGAGCTAAGAAGCTATTTTTCAGTGGCGACCCAGAAACCACAGTAGTAGCAATATAAGAGTGGAAGGAGGCCAACTGACCACCGGTGAGCGAGTGACTGGAGTGAATCGGTGAGTGCTGGATCACCAATCAGCCTGACCGCTGCTTTACGTTGAATTCCACCAAGCGCGGCATTGTTACATGGAGGGCTCGTGACCAGCTGGGTCGGGGGCGCCAGACCCACCTGTGGATGATGTGGCGCTGCTGCAGGTAGTCAAGCGCCAGAGAGAGCTCGCACAAGTAGAGACGCACCGCCTCCTCCTGAAAGCGCGTGCTCTGCTGCAGGTGGTAGCGGAGGTCACCGCCCAGCAGGAGGTCCACCACCATGAACATATCCTCCTCGTCCTGGAACGAGTACCTGCAGCCACGCGCAGACAACTACTTGAGCTGAGCACGCCACCCCTCGTTGTGTTTGTACCTCAACGGGTCACACCTCGTCGATAGGTGGGGGCCCCGGCGGTAGCGCGTTCGCGGATCGTTGCAGAGGTTCGCGGTTGAATTCAGGCGGGCCGCCCTGGTTATTACTGCAGTTGTATTAATGGTAAAAATTTGCGAAATTTAAAATATTACCAATGAATTACTCAATTGGGGTTACGAATAACAACACCGCTCCCTCCTAGCAGACTATAAGCATCTGTGGAACATAGTACCTCCGTGATAGCCGTGTGCTATAATAATGGCGCAAATACCAAATGTACTGAATTATTAAGGAGAGCTAGCGTCAGGACAGTATGCATAATTGGACCTTGGTGATGAGGCATTGGATGTTGGATGATGTCTATACGATGAACTGCGACATCTTACAGAAATAAAGAAGCACAAGGGTTGAGGTGCGGTGGAATAAAAGGCATTGACTGATGAGTGAGCTGAAACAACAACAACACCCGGTGTGTCAAAGGCTCATACACCACGTGACGAGCTCTGTTGTTTGGCTGTGTTGGGTGGTGGAGGGTCTTATGACACAAAAAATAGGCCAGATCATGATGTGGTCTCAGCAAAAATTTTTGTATGAATCAGTATTTGTACCGTATATCTTATTGTTGACTTCTGAATCCCGTATATAAAACGACAACAGCATTCCTTTCTGAAACATGCAAGCGAGAATAATAAGCCAAATGTCTCTTTTTTCAAAGAAACTAATGGAAACGCAACGTTCGCATCGCATGGCCCATGACCAAAGACTCATTTCACCCAAGTAAAATCAAACAAAACACCTACAAGCGTGCAACCTGCAAAGTTTGCAAAGAGTTGTCAAAATGATGAAGGGTGTCCGAGGCAGTGGAGATCACGACGGCTTGATGCACCGATCGTAAACACGGCATGAAATGCAGACAAATCCATCATACTATTTACACGCTTTTTATTAACTCTGTCTGTTGTTGTTGTCTTATCCTCAAACTTGTAACTCTATTTTTACCCACTTCCCAATGTGGTATCGACTGAAAACTTGGTATACTTATGACATACTGATGACAATACTATATTCTATCATAAAAAAATTAAAAAAACATATTTTCAAACATTCTTTTTTACATGTTATGTTTCGGCTTGGGTCTAATTGTCCATGCTCAACGTTGGCTGTAATTGGCCACGGTCCCTTACGTTATGGCAAGCTTCGGGGCCACTTCCTGGAGCCGTGGAGTTATGCCATTACTAGTATGGTACATTTCATGAAAGCGTGTTTTTAAAAAAACATTTTTAAATATTACTTATTATTTATTTGCAGCAGCATATTCCAGAATTATGTTCTGGCAGCCACATCAAATCAAGATTACATCCAATATTGTGAGCTGCCTAGCCGTGCACCCCGTGTACGTGCGAGTGGTGTGTGTCTGTGCATGTGCGAGCGGTATCTGTGTCTCCTGAGTTGTTAGAATGTGGAAGTTGTGTCCGATGAATTGGAGAGGCCGTACCAGAGGTTGACGAGGAAGGTGTGCTCCAGCTCCTGCATGATCTGCAGCTCGCGGAACACGTTGCGCACCTCGTCCCGCTCGATGCACACCTGCTTGTTCATGTACTTCATGGCGTACATCGTGCGCGTGTCCCGCTTCTGGACGATGCACACCTGGGACACAGCGGAGCACGGCGCCGCCACTTCAAGACGTGCCGTGCGGCGTTACAGAGATGTGGCACGCGCCATTACCGTGCATTGCCAAATCAACCGCACTTGACAAAGTGATGCATCTCAAAATAGAAATAGTGAAGGCGTGACTTGCGCCGTTTGTGTATGATTATTGATATCAGATTCGAAATGCTTGTCGTCTTCATCACCCACCATCTGTCTCTCTCGGCTCACCCGAGGGTGCCGTTACAGCGGCTGTCTGAACTCATGGATTGAGAGATTTTTTTACAGAGAATTAATGTATATTCTTGGTTCTTTCGGTAAAGTCACGTAGAAGGGAAACAATGAAATAATAAAAATATAAAACAATAAAATTCTCACGACGTTTCGACTGCAACACAAGCAATCATCATCAGGTGTGATGATGATTGCTTGTGATGCAGTCGAAACATCACACCTGATGATGATTGCTTGTGTTGCAGTCGAAACGTCGTTAGAATTTTATTGTTTTATATTTTTATTATTTTATTGTTTCCCTTCTACGTGGTGACTTTACCGAAAGAACCAAGAATATGAATCCCTGCAGTCACGAAAGCTTTAAATCAAAAAGAGAATGAATGGTTTACTATATCCACAAATCACTGGATTGTAAAAATTCACTGCCACGATTGGATTCATGAATCTCGTATTTTTTTCTTGTTTAGCTTATAAAGAACCCATAATGGCTGGAAGTTCCCATAAACTAAACCAATGTAACAAGCGTTTGAGCTCTTATCTATTACAACTTTGATAGTGATGTTCGTTGCTGGGTGCTTAACATTTTAGGTCTCCGGGCTTGTGCTCAGCAAATTTGTAAAAGTAAATAGTGGAACTGAAGATTAAGATGCTTACCAGCATCACCATCATCAGCCATATCAGCATCAGCAGCATCATAAACATTACTGTCATCACCAGAGTCATTATAAAGTTTGACACCAAACTCCACATCTGCATCGACTATTCTCCGCTTTCTTCTCCACTCTCTATTCATTCAAATGTTGTCTGCCGAATTTTCAAAAAGTCAAATTAATTACCATTGCCAACACGACGGAGTTTCTTTTTGCAGTAAATAAAACATCTATTCTCGCTAAGAGGATCAACTGCCTCTCATCTTGTTGTCATTTATCTGCGTCAAAAACTCCGTGAATTATCCTTGACCCTGAGCAGACCTTTCTCCTCTCTAGACGTCATGAAACGTGACCACTTCTGCATCGTGAGTGCCACATGAAGTCATAGAGGGGTTCTGGTGAAAGCCAGATGATGGTTTTGTGGTCCTATGCAAGAAGCCTGACCAGCAGGAGGCGGATGCTACCACTGGTCGCATGGAAGCTCCAATGCAGTACACACTGCACCCATACAATGTATACAATTTGGCTTCATATAGCATCCAAATGCAACTACATCTATCTCACACTAGACACGAACCATAAAGTTCAAGGTTTGTATTAAGAGCACGAATAAAGTATATGCTTTTTTATATTTTGAAAGAGGCTGGTAAACGGTTTTCTTTGAATATTTAGTCAACGTTCAGCCTCCAATTAAGATGATAGACACTATATACGATTTTTATGTTATATAGCAGGAATGTAACTACTGTATTAAAATTTGGTCTCTGCCTGGCTAAGTTCCACAACCAGATATCCCGCCGCGGTAATTTTGGTCTCAAACGAACGTTTCGCGCTTATTTCTAAAACTGTGAATTTGACAAATTGGTGGCTTTTTCAGTTTAAAAGAAAACACTGATATATCCGTGTTCGTGTCACAGCGTTTGGGAGCACGGGAGAGACAGGCAGAAGGGGAGAGATTTTAGGAGCAGAGGCAGCACGAGAGTGCCGAGCTAGACAACGGTGTCACGGTGAAGTCCCGCACCTCATTCATAGTCTCGTTTGTTTACACAAACATCGCATGTTATTGTCCAGGACTCCCTGGTCAAAAATAACATGACATTAGCGGGAAAATATTATGTGCCGGCCTGCCCTAGCTGGCTAGCTCCCATTACGTGAAAACTGTACCCAAATCCAAGAAGCTTTGCTGTGCCTTGTCTTGTACATTTCTGCCAGAAATAACATCCCTGCTTTTTTTCATTGCCAGTGGTTTTTTTTGGCCTTCCTACCTCCCTCGTCTCCAAGCTGCAAGCGCCTTGTTTAAAACTGGCGTCATCTCATGAAACATTCCCCACTTTCAGCGGAGGGGGGGCGGTGGAGGAGGTAAATGCTCATCTTCCCGATTGTTCTAAATGGCATTTTTGGTGAGATAGAAAAGGGGGCGTAAGTAGTTCTGAATATCGGATGCACAGACAAGATCTGATGTCCTTCCGGATTAATCCATGAACTGCCCCCCCTCAAACCACGAGAGCAAATGGACCAACCCGGCCGTGCGCTTCAGCGTGAAAGCTCTTTCCTTTATCGCTATGCCATGACGCCAATGTGTTTGGAATGAGGTTGCTGCGATAGAGCGATATAGCAGTCGTGGATCCAGAGCGGAGGGGTGTGTGGGCGATGGGAGTGATTGTGTAATCCTTGAGATCCCTAAACTGTGCATTTTATTGCTCTTTAACATGGAAAAAAATCGTTGAATGTTTTTTTCTTTCATATTAACGTAGGGTCCTATTTTAAAAGTTTGACATTTTGGGGCCCAACCCCTTCTTGGGAAGTTTCCAGATCTGCCACCGTGGCAACACGAATGTAACGGTCGCTGTGAGCGCACATTTATTTATTTCTTAATTCTGCAGTACAACCTGGTGGCTTTGCCACTCAAATGGGTATGGCTGTGTGCCCCACTGGCTCGCAGTCCAGCTGTGCCGGCTCACGGGTTCAAACGCGAACTGCGACTCGCGCAATTGGCTGCAAATGCGAGTGCACGCCGCATCAGTGGGCCGTGAGCGCCAGACGCTGACCGGTGGAACGGATGGAAGGGCGCAAAGCCCCCGGGGATGTTGAAGAAGAAAGGGAGGCTCGGTTAGAGACACCCGTTTGGTGAAACTGGATTGGCTGATGGGGAAGAATCGGTTGAAAAGGTTCAAGGCCGGGGATGGGTATAGAAGGGTTTGAATGCAGTAGGCTGGGTGGGACTCTCTTGGAACTGTTCCATATGCGTTGTGCTCCTGGATAATAAACAGCCCTTAGTTCACTATGCGGTCAAGTTCTTTTACATGAAGATATTTTGCACGATTTATGGTCCAGGATAATCGTATATTCCATCTTGCAGAACAAAGAACAAATGCTATAGAATAAAAAGGTCAAATACAGTTTCAAGCAAGAAGAAAGCTGATATCGCGATTATTATAAGATTATGACATCATGAAAACTGATATTGTGTCGTGGAAGATTTTAGATTACAACAACCATAGTCCAGCGTGAATTACGTACCCGTTTGTAGAGAATATAGCAGCAGCCGCAGTGTGTAGACTTTTAAAGGTAAACACGCGTCGCGTGTAGTTTATTTACTGGTACAGTAACTGTTATTTCACACCATTGCAGACCCTGGCTGGGCTGGACAGCTGTGAACCAGAGCTTCATCGCTTATCGGGATGATACAGCTTGAACCAAACGTCTGTTTGTGTACAACTGGTAAAGTACATATATTACTTCATGACTTAAAGCTTTCGTGACTGCAGGAATTCATATTCTTGGGGTCTTTCGGTAAAGTCACGTAGATAGGTTCAAAGAAAATAACAAAAAAATAACAAAAAAAACTACGACGTTTCGATCGCAACACAGGCGTTCGTTCTGATGACGAACGCCTGTGTTGCGATCGAAACTTCGTAGTTTTTTGTTATTTTTTTGTTATTTTCTTTGAACCTATCTACGTGACTTTACCGAAAGACCCAAAGAATACATGTATAACATTGCCCTTTATTTTACAGAATTTTAGAAACACTTGCGTTTAGGTCCTTTGTAAATAAAAAATGTATTACATATTGTAATGGTGGTTAATCTACTTAGAACATGCCTAAGAACATTATTGTATTACTGCCATGTGTTTCTGTCAGTATTAAACATTACACAGCCACAATCTTGCAGCATGGAACAGTAATTTCCTTTCAGGTCCAGCATGTGGACCTTGGCAGGCTCTTGTTTATACACAGACATCGACGCTGACATAATTCTCTTTGAAATGAATCGCTCTGTGGCATCTTTGTAGCAAAATGAATGTTTTATTCATTGGATTTATTTTTAAACTACAGCGAAACCCTTAGCTGTGGACGAATGTACCCCCCCCCCGTCATTCCCGATCGAAGAATTGGCTGTCCCCACGCTGTCGAAATGAAGGTTACCAATACCGAGCATTAAGGGTGGCAGCGATGGGCACAGTGGTTCACTCGCTGCTCTATGAACCTGGCCACCTGAGTTCGATTCCCGGCTAAAGCCAATGTCATTGGTGAGTTTCAAACAATGCACAGCAACGTGTAGAATGCATTGGTGGGCACTGTGTGCATTATGCACAAGCCATCAGCGGTTCTCACTCATTGGTGTCCGGCCTGCACTCCATTTCTGTTATCACGGGGTTTTCTCCTCATTGCCACATTCGATCGTTGGTGAGCGATATCAAAACCCACCCACCTGGCCCCCAGTTCACCAACCCGTGCTGACCAACGTGGTGAGGTCCAGCCAAAACAGCCTCTCACGACCGATACGGTGGGGCGAGGAGGCCTTCATCCAGTAGTTGACTAACAAGGGGCTGTAAGAAAACACGGAAGGGCTGGTGCAGATGGAAGGGTTCCTGGCCCCTGCTATGTCCCATGCTGTTGCTGAACCTCCACACGGGGGAACATTTTTTGGCGAGTTGAGGGCGATACTCCTTGACGGATCGTTTCCCTGTTTACCTCTCTCCCTGTCACTCTCCTCATACCTCCATGTAGTATCTGTCTCTCCATCTGCCTCTTGCTATCTCTCCACGTTTGTCTCATTAGCTCTCTCCTCCCCGTTACCTTTATTGCTGTATTTTTCCCTTCCCTATCTCTC